CCATCTAAATCTTCCAGAGCACTAGAGTAATAGGCCTCCCAAAGTCAGGAACCCAATTATCCTTCTGGATCACAGTAAGGGAAGAGCTGATGTGGAATAAGTTGGCACCAATCTTCAGCAGGCCCAGCTCCACATAAAAACCCAACCTTGAATCTCCACTTTAAATCACTTCTAGACTAGCCCTCTTTAGAGGGGCTGAAAGCACCTGGCCAATGGCTAAGGAGTAGTGAGACAATATATATGAGTTGCCCAGCATGACACTTGGCACATGGGCAAGTCCCCTTCCCATCTTGCAAGGTCAGTACCACCTGTAAATCCCACTGAGGCTTCAGGACCTAGGTCATCTCAACTCTCCCCCCAGGGCCTCTCTAACGTATCCTCATCCAAATGACCTAGTTAATATAAATCACACCCGTTTCATGACAGGTGCCATACTAGGCACCTGTCATGTGTTGAATGTGTAATCCTATTCAACTTTCACAATGACCCTATTTTGCCCTTTTTATACAGGAGAAACTAAAGCCCTGAGAGGGGAAATGACTTGCCTGAGGACACAGGTAGGAAGTGACAGAGATCTGGGGCCAGGATTGCCTCACCCAGAGCTGGCCCTGCCACTGACCTTCTGAAAGGTAACCTGGAAACTTCCTCCCTAAGGAGAGAGACTGCACCTGACACTATTCATTCTCAAGGGACAGCGACCCGCACACGTCAGGAGCTTTCAAATGAAAACAGCTAACTTTAAAATAAATAAACAAACAAACAAACAAACAAAATAAACAAACAAATAAATAAAATAATGTAGTACAAAGATTAGAAATTCCTCGCATGAAAAACTATTCATGGGGTTGGACTGCCTGAGCCTTGAACGCAGCCATATAGCCTGGCAGGGACTCAGTCTCAAATTGGCCCAGACTGAGCTCCGATCTAGGACACCTGTCACAACCCAAGCCGCGACCGGCGACACATGCTGCGCCTGGAGCTGGGCACAGTCGGAGCCCCGAGGAGACCCCAAAGACGCGTCCCCTTGACTGACACCCGCGGTTGAATCGGGTCGTGACCTCGGACCGTTCCCAAGGCCCTGATTTCTGCGTCCCGGGGCACGGACTCACTCACAGACACGCCCCCTCCCCAAATCCCATTTCACTTGCAGGGATACCTCGCTGTTCTCGTGTTTCCCTCAGCGGACTCGCCACAGCGCCGGTCGCGCTCCCCCACTGCGGATCGCTCCACTGAGAACGCGGAAGAGGCGGTACTAAACCCGAGGGGGCGGGCCCGACCGGAGCGGAGCGCGAGGGGGCGGATCTGCGCCTGCTCCCCGATGTTTACGCCCAGAGAGAGGGTACGGACGAGCTTAGTCAACTACGCAGGCGTGATGGACAGGGGCGGGGAGATTGCTGGGAAGGGGCGGGGCTTAGCTCTCGCTACTATTTTCTAAGTGAAGGTCGGGAAGCCAGGGAGCAAGCTCCAGGAGGGAGGAGGCCAGGAAGCTGCAGGAGTAATTAACATTTACCAAGAGCTTCTGCATGCCAGGAAGGAATTTTTTAAAATGTCTTTTACATATGGGGATATGCGCTAGTCTTTTATAAAATGAAAGCTAATTCTGTAAAATTTCTTACAGATTACTCTTGTAATCTCACAAGAGTTTCTCCTTGAGTAGAGCATTCACCCAGTAGTTAAAAAAAAAAGACTTAAAAGTTCATTACTTGGAGAAAACCATCTGCATACAAATTAATATTTCAACCAGCCCTGGGTCTTCTCCCAAGATGCAAGTGTGATGAGGTAATGAGAGTGCTGACTTGGGTTTGATTCAAGTCCTGACTCTGAATGTGTTTACTTCGTTGTGAAATGGAAGTAAATATCCCTTCTCTGCCTGCCTCAGGACTGTTGTGAGAATCTGGTGAGCAATGCTGGCTAAAGAGCCTCTTGGACTTTCTTCCCATCATCCATCTGAAAAACATTTGTTCCCTGTCCCTTTCTGGGCTCAATCTTCTCATCTGTATGATGGAGAGAGGTCTGGAACATCAGAGAACATTCAGGGCTTTGCTAGATTTCCCAGTATAGGTTAAGGCTGGAGAGGAGTTCTCCCAAGCATCTGTATTCAGTCACTTCCAGAATCCCTCAGTCAACCTGAAGGCCCCTGTGTGTCTTGATCTCTCCCACCTTCACCTTCTGCGCCCGTTCAAACTTCATGCCCTCACATGTCATGCTGGCCTGTTCCCCTCTGTTTCCCGAATGTCTCAATAACAAGCTGCTCCTGAGTCACTCAAGCCTATGTTCCAATCTAGGTTCTCAAAATTGCTATGTCCTCCATATGGCAACCAACTTCAGTTAACACCAGGGAGGAGGGCTCTGGAGAACTCATAACAAGAAGGGCTCAAGGAGGGCTCCCCCAAATCAGGTGCAGCTCCAGCCATGCTTGTGGCTCCCTTCACTACACACTACGTAAATACAGCTCCCAGGAGTGGAAGTGACCACAGGAAACCTCAAAGAAAAGGCTGCAGTGTTCATGAGGGCCAGGGTTGGTGGGGCAGCCTTTACTCAATAGGTGGATGCTCTGCCCCAAGGTGGGGAGAATGGCTTGCCTTCTTATTTCCTGCTCCAAATAGTGTTATGGATCCAGGAAAACAAAGCCTTCAACAGCCTGGCTGCCCAGACTGTTCCTATACCCCTAATACATTGCCTCTCCCAGGGCTCTCTCATGCCAAGTTTTGCCCTATGGATGACGTGGGACTCTGTTCTCTCTTCTGTCTCCTCCTTCCTCTCCTACCTCTGTCTAGTCTTCTCTAAGCATCCTTCTCTGAATTTCTCAAAGCAGCTTTGTAGCTTCTTGTAAGGAGCAGGCTGTGGCCACCCAGTTCTGAAATTAATCTACCCTCACTGCCATGGTGTATTTCAAAACTATGATCCCAGAACCTGAACTTTCTAAGAGTCTGAGCTATTCAGTAATTGAAAAGGTAGTGAGTGACCTGTCACAGGAAGAGTGCAAGTAGAGTATGTTTTAGAATGCTGAATGGGGTCCTCCTCTGGCAAGCCAGAAGAAGAGGCAACAGAGTGGAGGGCCTTACAGATCCTAGAGCAGTGGAAGGGGGAATACTTGGTGCCAAGAAGGGAGTTGGCAGCTAGTATATGTCAAGCATTTAGAACTGTACCTGACACATAATATTAGTTATTATTTCATTATTGTGAATGATTCACAGACTGGGAATAATGAAGCAGCTTAGAATCAATTATTCCCTCGCTCCCACTCCTGCTCATGAAATAGATGGGTTAAATTGAGGTCTGGAGGGGCCCACCATAGTCAGGGGCTGGGCTGGGACTAGAACCTAGGCCTCCACCTCCCAGGAGAGCCGCTGCACAAAGCCAGGCTGTTGCCCTTTCAGGTAGAGGGGAGAGCTCTAGGTGGGCCTTTGCTGACTCTTAGGAACCAAGCTGTGACCTGGCCAGTGTTAGAGCACCAGCCCATGCACCAAAGGGTCACAGGCTTAATTCCCAGTCACATGGTGCATACCAGGGTTGCAGATTTGATCCCTGGCTCTGGTCAGGTTCATGTGGGAGGCAACCAATCGATGTATCTCTCTCACTTCGATGTTTCTCTCTCTCTCTCCCTCCTTCCCTTCCAGTCTCTAAAAATCAGTGGAAAAAATATCCTCAGGTGAGGATTAAGAACAACAACAAAAAGAACCAAGTTTTTCAACTCATCTGGGCACTTGAGATAAGAAGCAGTGTAATGAAAGCAAGACCTGAGCTAAGAGGCTCAAGTGTTTCCTGGTGAATAAGCTCAGGAGTCAGCCCCGTATCCAGCTACATACAACAAACAGCATTTTCTTGAGAAGGGCTTCCTCTGCTATGATTAGGATTAGGACTGTGTTTCTTTCCTGTCCCTTAACCCATTAGCTCCAATAACCCACCCAGATTAAGGGGGTGAGAACAGCCAGTGCCAGGTAACCTGAGCTGAAATAAGGAAAGAATCTACCGAGAAGAGACTGAGCTCCCCAAAGGCAAGGGCCAGTCCTCCCCTCTCCTAGGGTCCTAGCCTTCCCCAGGAATTCTAGGTTCAGAATGCCCAGAGCCCTGGGAAAATGTTGGCGTCTCCACCCTGGAGAGCTGGGCCAAACATGACCATACCAGCCAGCACTCCATATGGCCTGGGACAAAAAGCCCTTCCTGCCCCATTCTGGCCCAGTTTCTCCCACAGCTTTCCCAGGAGCCATGTGGCACCCAGACCACAGCTTCCCACCAGCACTGCTTTAGTTTGCTTCCTTTATTTACCAAAAATAACAATAAAGTCTTCCCTCTGTTTCACAAAAATAGATTTCCCCCCGTCCCTCCCCACCCCACCCACCTATCTCCCCCTCCTCTGCAATCAGCACTGGCCACAGACTAGAATCCATCTTCTGATCCACAGTCCTCCCTGGGGGAATCTTTGACCCCACCCCACCCACTCCAGAGCCTTTGGCAAAGCTGCTGGGGCCAGTGGTATCCCTTGGAACTTCTCAGGAAGCAGCAGTCCCAGGGCCAGCTGGCCAGCTTCAGGAGCCCCATCTGCTTCCCCAGAGATCAGGCAGCTGCTGGGCCACCAAGAGGGGTATGATTTTGGAGGCTTGGCTCAGCAGATAGCCCTAGCAGACTGGAGGGAAAGTGGGGCACTCTGGCATCAGGCTAGAAATCCTTGCTCAAAGCAGGAACAGTTGTGTCCTGGAGAGGGACTGTCAAACCCTCTTTCCACATGCTTCTCATCTTCCTGTGTTACATTCCACAGGCCCTAGGGTGGGAGTCAGGGCCTTGGCTTTTACTCCACCTCCACAAAGCCTTGCTGTGAGGCCTAGACAGTTTCTCCCTCCCTTTCTCCTGGCTTCAGTTTCCTCTCATGTACATGGAGGATTCTGTGAGACTAGGTGATCCTCGGGTCTTTTCTGGCTCTCCATCCTGGCCTTCCAGCATGGAGGCTCTGGGAAGGGAGGGCCCTGTCCCTGCTTCAATCCCCCACCCCCCCACCCCCAATGGGTCTAGGCACAAGGCTGGGCATGGGGTGCTGAGTAATGGAGGAGTGAATGAACATCCCAGTTTCTCTTTGAATAGCTATGCTCTGAGAGTCAACCAGTTGGAATGTTTCAGGATGGTTGGGAAGGAGGCAAGTACTTATGGGTGCTCTCCAAGCCTAGAAGAGTCCATTCACTAGCCACGTGGTCCTCAATGTCCGGGGATGGGAGACAAAGTTTCCCAATTCAAGTTCCTCTAGATTCTTGGGTTGGACAATTATCCTGTGCTGGGCTTCAGATCCTGGGAACCAAGTCTATAGATTCTAGGAGCTAGATTGGAGTACGTAATTCCCAATTTAAGCCCCAGAGGACCATTTGGACATGAGGGATTACCCTCAACCCCCAGGAGGCTGTCTATAATCAGGCCTTTCTGGAGACAGAGGACTGAGGGAAATTATAGCTGATACGCATCTCTGGCTGAACAATCAGAACCTGTCTGTGATGGGCCAGGGATTTAGGTACCCAGGGCAAATCTCCCCTTCCTACCTCCCCACAGCTCTCCAGAATTCATGCTGATGGAAGAAGGTAATCTAGACGGTTCAAACATAGAACTACATCCATCTACAACCACATTTTGTACACTTACACACATCGTCGGACACATCAAGTAGGGACAGTGAACCGTCATCACTCCTACAGTGGTCATGGTCTGATGGCCCCAATCTCTCTGCCCCTCCCTCCCTTACCTCTTTGTTCCTTCCATCCATTCGTTTGCATAACATTTATGAGGTCCTACTATGTGCCAGGGCGGGTCTAAAGTGGCTAGCTCTCACAGACACACCCACGGTCAAACTCTCTTATACACACAGTGCTCACTCACACAGAGGCTGCTCCCTCTCTTGTATCTTTCTTGCCAGCACCTCAGCCACATCCACATTGCCCAGATAGGCTTGGGAACCACCATGGAAGGGTCTCCCAGACTTCATGTTGGAGGTTTAGCTTTTCCTTTCCTTCCGTTTGCCCACATTTAAATCGCCCCCTTCTCCATTCACAAGCAGTCAGGGGACATGTGGGCAGACTCCTGAGAACCAAGAAGTCCAGGGGCTTTGGGTGTGTGGAGGGGTCCCAGGGCCTTCAGGTTCATCTGCCACCAGACTCCTGAGGGTCCCTTCCCCTAGCCGCTCTATGTTCAGACGATCATCTGACCAGCAACAATGTCCAGGACTGGGCTCAGTGACAGATCCGCTCTGTCATCTCCCTCTGCAGAGACACAAAGTTGGGGTGGGGGGGGAGTCAGTCAGAGCTCAACCTTCACAAACCATAGGGCCTGGCTGCTCTTCTGCCTGAACCCAGCCACTTCCCTCCCCCCACCCCAACTCCAGGCTGCAGATCTGGGTTTGTAAACTGACCCCTAAACAAATTCTCTATTGAAGTACAGAGTCATGTTAAATGAATTGCCATCCCCTAATTTATCCTCTTGGGTATTGGATTTTCTTAAAGCAGGTAGCCTTTGGATCTGAAAACTAAGAGGCTAGCCCTAGTGGGGGAGGGGAAGGGAGCCTTGGCCTCACCAGTGGCTCCAGCTCCCGCTGGTCCACCAGGCTGAACTCCCGGATGAAGTAGTAGAAGTGCTTGTAGCAGGTGTTGACGTGCGCCTCGGCCCCCATGCTGAGGATGCTGTCGAAGTGGTGGATGTAGACATGGACAAAGACGCGAAAGAGGCGGGTCAAGATCTTGGTGCAGACCTGCTGGAAGTTCTTGGGAAAGGGAACTCCTAGGGGACAGGGACGGGCAGAAGTGGGGGAGGGGTCAGAATCCTGGTATGAAACCCCTCCCCTACCTAGCCCTGGCCTCCCACATACAGGCAGCCTTTGCCCTAGCACACTTCCCTGTAGGAGACACACAGAGATCATGATTTGCTTTCTCTCATCTTTCCCTTTTTAATGAAGCACAAATCTGACTTTGCCTCTGTTTTGCTGAAATACAGATCATCTTCCACATTTTCCCATGACTCTGAGTAAGACTCTACCACCTGGTGGGGGTCACTGACCAACCCTTCTTATCGTATGATCAAAGTAATGCCGGAACTCTCCCCAGAAATATATGCATCTGTAGGTGCTCTTCCATGACACACTTGGATACAATTCCAAGGGGAGTTCAGCAACATCTGAGGTCCAGTTTTACTTTTAAAAATATGTTTGCATTGATTTTTTTAGAAAGGGGAAGGAAGAGAGAAATAGAAACATTGGCATGAGAAACATCAATCGGCTGCCTTCTGCACACCCTCTGCTGGGGATCAAGCTGGCAACTTGGGCATGTACCCTGACTGGGAATCGAACCAGGACCTCTCAGTCCATTGGATGATGCTCAATCCATTGAGCCACACGGGCTGGACTGGGGTCCAGTTGTATTTATTTATTTATTTATTTATTCCTCACCCGAGGACATTTTTCCTTCAGATAGAGTGGGAGGGAGAGAGAGGAAGAGAGAGAGAGAGAGTAACACCCGCATGACCCAACCAGGGACAGGGACAAAATGCAACCAAGGTACATGCCCTCAGCGGGAACCGAACCCGGGTCTCTCTGGACCGCAGGCCGATGCTCTAACCGCTGAGCCAAACTGGCCAGGGCTGTGGTCCAGTTTTAAAAACATGACTGCTCAAGGTCTTTCAGTATTCTGACCTCCCTCTCCAGCCCCACCCAACTCCTTCCTCTTTGCAACAATCACAACGCAGTCCCCAGATCCCTAATCCTGAGAATTACTAAGGCTTTAAGAGCTAGTTCAGATATCTCTCAGTCCTTCAAATATTCAATAACACTTACACTTCCATCTGTGAGCCAGGCCCTGTGCTGGGCCCTTTGCACATTTCGCCTGGTATGATAATGGGTATGGTTGACATTCCAGAAGTGATCAAATAAAGGTACATAAAGATGGAGCCACTTGCCTGAGGCCACATAACTATTAATTAGTACAGACTGGAGGCAGGATTCAAACCCTCTCTGCACTGCACTAAAGCACCCCTCTGGGACAAATACCACAGACTCTGCACGTGAACAGCTCAAAGGACCTGTGAAAAGACACAGTTTTGCATAGTTCCCCCCATGCTCAGGGTGGAGATCTTGGGCCATGCCTTCTTTTCTGCCATTCCAGAGTTAAGGCACAGACATCTGGGGTCTCACCGGCCTGGGGATTAAGGCTAGGAGGGAATACCAGCCCAGACACAGTCCTACATTGGCCCACTCTGCTCCATAGATTCCTTCTTCTCCACTGGGCTCAGGAAGGATTGAGCACTGGATCCCCATGAGCCCTTCCAGGACCAGCCTAGGTCCTGCTCATCTTGACTTGTCCTGCTCATCTAGACTTGGGGCCCAAAAGACCTAAGCTGCAGTTCTGAATCCCTCCTCATTCAGTGTGCACTGTCCCTCTCTTGGCCTCAGTTTCCTCCTGTGTGAAATGAAGATACCCATTGTTGGGCATGATAGTGCAGGAAATGACAGGTCACCAGCTGGGGAGGGGCCTCGGGCATTGAATTGTGACTCAGTGCTCAGCTTCCCTCAGCTTTCAGACTTCTCCCCTCTGGGCTTGACCACCCTGCCCCACCCATCTCTCATTCCCAATGCCTTAAGAGGGATGAATATGAGGCCAGGTGGGGGTGGGGCTGCTGTGATGAACACAGTGTCATGCCAACACCCCTTCTTGATGCCCTTGGGTGGGGAAGCAGGGCCAGGGTGACATCACTCATCTCCCCTAACCACCCTCATCCGCCCAGGCTGCCCCGCTGAGATAAGAAAAGGCTCCATGGTTTGGGCCTGACAAGGAAAAATTCTGCCCTCAGAGCCCCCTGAGGTAGAAATACCATCAGGCACACACAATCCTACACCCCCCTTCCCTTTTAGGGCCAGGAGTCAGAGGGAACTCCCAGGAGGCTGCAGGTCAGATCAGCACAAGCAGAGTGACCTGCTAGGAGCACCTTGAGGCACTTCTTCTGGAAGGTTCTGAGAACCACGGTGGTCTTGCCAGGGTTATCCCTGGTGGGACACTCAAGCTTTAGACAAGAAGAGCCCCCAATTGGGAGTCAGGCAGTCTGCGCTCCAGATGTCTGATCTTGACAAGCAGACATTGAACCTCTCTGAGCCTGTTTCCTCTTCTACAAAATGGGGGTGAAGATTACACACACACACACACACACACACACACACACACTCCCTCCACAGAATTGCTGTATCAAACTAAACGCCTCATCTGTGAAATGGGCTCCGTGGTTTCCTCCCTCTCTGGCCAGGCCCGACCTGCCTGCCAGGTGGCACTCACCAACGCGAGTGGGAAAGACATCCTCATCGTTGATGAGGCCCTCGATCCAGTCCATGAGCAAGGCCATGTAGCGCGGCGCCGAGAGCTTGGCCGGCCGCCGGTACTGGCGTTCGTCCTGCCAGCGGTACTCGTAGCGGGGACCTCCGGCCATCACCGGGCAGCTGGTCTCGCTGCAGCGCTCAGCCATGGTGCCATAGATGAGGTTGATGCGGTTGAAGAAGTCCACCACGTGCACCGCGATCCAGTCGTCGATATTCTCGCCCGGCGGCAGCCTCACCACACTGCGCAGGTCCAGGCCCGACTTGAGCGATGCCTGTGCCTTCTTATACAGCTCAAAGCGCTGTGTGCCCGGCTCAAAGCGCTTCCGCGGCCGGAACGTCTTGTCCTTGGCGAACACCTGCTTCAGGCACAGTGCCATGGCGAGGCGAGGCTGAGGGATAGGTGTTTGGGAGAAGGACCTGCGAATGCCCTGCCAGAGCCATGGGCATGGAAGAACATGGTAGTCAGGTCCTTACCAAACGTGCTTTGACATCCCGACACATCATTCCCTCTCACCTCTCAGCTTTTGGCCCACCTCAGCAGCCTTTGCCCAGATTCTAAGAATTTTTTTTCTTTATTGATTTTAGTGAGAGAGGAAGGGAGAGGGAGAGAGAGATAGAAACAATGAGGATGAGAGAGAATATCAATCAGCCGCCTCCCGCATGCCCCCCACTGGGGATCTGGCCCACAACCTGGGCATGTGCCCTGACCGGAACTCCTGGTACATGAGTTAACACTCAACCACTGAGCCACACCGGCGGAGCTGCCCAGATTCTAAATCCTCCTCATCCCCTCTGTCCAGTGCCACTGCCCTATTTCCAGGCAGCCCTATCTCCCCCTGCCAAGTGTCACAGCCCTAGCATCCTATATTATTTCCTTTCACATTCATCTATATTATTTCCTTTCACATTCATTGCATCTCACAGAGGTCTGGGCCTCGGTTCCAAACAGGTGCTCCTCAGACTTGCTGTTAACCAATAGAAAGGTGGCAGAGCCTTCCTGCAGGCCCTCCAGAAGGCAGGAGCCGGGACACGATGACCTCTGCAGGGCCCACAGGCCACCTGGTGCAGCGTGGGAGAGCCTGGTTGCATTGTGCTGGGGGTAGGGGGTAGGGGGAAGGCCCCGCCTTCAGCTTCCTCTGGGATATCTTGTAGTCCATCCGGCCACCGGGGATTCCCAGGGAGCAGGAGGGACTTTTTTTTTTAACCAAAAATGTCCTTTCCTTTTATTACCCTGAAAGAGGAAAGGCCCTCATATGGCCAGCTGGGCGGCCTGTGAGTGTGGTTACAGGCACTGGAGGAGAGGGGGAGGCAGCAGGTCTAGAGGATCACCACTTCCTCCAACAGTGGCTTGAGATCCTTCCCCCCAAGCCAGCCTCCGCCAGCTGGAAACCCCAACAGGCCCCTCTTCCCACACCTGATACTCAGTAGATATTCTTTTTTTAAAAACATGTTATTTAAAAAAATTTTATTTTTCTTTATTGATTTTAGATAGAACATCAATGGAAACATCAATGAGAGAGAATATCAACTGGTTGCCTCCTGCATGCCCCCCCCCCCCACCACTGGGGATTTGGCCCATAAAATGGGCATGTGCTCTGACTGGGAATTGAACCAGCGAACTCCTGGTGCATGGGTTGACACTCAACCACTGAGCCACACCGGCTGGGCAATATTCTTAGAGCACCCACTATGTGCCTGGAACTGGGAGGTAGGAATGTAGTGGAATCCACCCAGCTGGGCCCATCTAGAATTCAGATGAATTTGCTTTGCCTTTTAGAACTGAAGAGTCCCAGACTCAGAACACACTTTGGGAACAGCAATCAGAGCCCCAAGCTTGGAGGCAGAAGTTCTGGGTTCTAGTCCTAATAGCAGGCATGGACTTGGCCCATGCAACTTCCTGGTTCACTCCAACACAGGCCAGGTTTCTGTGACTCTCAGGGTAGACTCTCATCTGTCCTGTGAGTATGTGAGCTCTTGGGAAATGCAAACCCAGGTACCTATTGAGATTAATTTAGCCACAAACTGAGCACTACCCTGACCCTAGACTGAGAACTAAGGCTGATTGTAGGCCAAGCACTGAGCTCTGGCTCCAGGTTGAACTCTGACTTGGCCTTGACACTGGTCAGTGGGGGTACTAACTCTAGCCCTAGACTGAGGCTTGAATATAGCCGCAAACAAAACCTAGCCTTGACCTCAAAGCTGACATTGGAGCATTTTCCTTTCTCATATCTCTAGTAATACTAGGACAAAATTGGGGAAGAAGGATGAGAATAAGGTAACAATTGGGTGTAACCAAAGGCACAGTAAATATGGTTTGGGGTGGTATCATGTCAGGCAATAAGTCAAACTAGTGGAGACGTTTGGAATGGGGGTTCTTTGTTGTACTCACAATAGGCAGGCAAGGAGGGGGACAGTCAAGTAAAATGAGAGGAACCTGGAGAGGAGGGGTAGGACTCCCACCAGGATCTTGTCTTGAAAAAAAGCTCCAAGATGTGGCAGGTCATCTCATCCGTCCCCTGCTCCTCACTTCTTTGGGTGAGAAGTCCCCAGTGTGGGACCTGAGCTTCCCGACCTAAGAGGAGGTGACTTCCATGCTTCACCTGCTGCTTGCATTCTAAACTCTGCTTGGGGCAGGTGCTTCCAAAACCTCTCACAATGCAATTAGGTAGGGTTCCTGGGCTCTTCACCTTCGCCCAGCCAGCCCCCTTTACTGACAGTTACCAACAGACCCTCACCCTGGCATTCAGCACATTACCCTACCTTTCCTACCCCTCCCACTTCCCCATACCAACCACCCTGGGCTTTTTGCTGACCCTCCCCCACCACCAGTCTTCTTATACTGGTGCTTTTGCCTGACTACACATGGTCAGGTTAATGTTATCTCCTCCCACAATCCCCTCTACTAAATCTAGTTCTCTTTCTCCTTAAGTAGAGGCTGCTCTTTGGCCATTGCCACCCCCTTCCCCCCCAGCCTAGGTCAGGGCCTGATACATAGTCAATGTTTACAATCAAGACTCTTAGGGTTAAAATAGCCCTGAAAAATCAACTGGCCCAACCCACTTCTTGTACAGATGGGGAGTCTGAGGCCCAGAAAAGGGATTTGAGGAGCCTGTGTTCACATAGCAAATTACAGGCAGAGGATTTCCAATGGCAGAACTGGAGACTGGGATAAGGTGGGGCTCAGACCAAGATAAGAATAAAAGACCATTTTCCTGCACTGGCTGCACTAGTTGGTCTCTGAAAAAGGAGGGGAATGGAGGGAGAGGGGAAGCATCGTCCCACCAATTAGACCAACCTAATTCCTGTCCCAACATGCTGAGCTTTTCCCACTGCCTCCACAGCAACTTGGTAGTCCTGACCAGTGAGCTAGAGTCTTACCTTCCTGCTGTAGAATTTCAAGGCCTGGGTCTTTCCCCAGGAACAGGTAAGCTTGCCGGTGGGAGGATGGTTAGGTGCCCTTCTATCCATGCCACTTGTTTCTCTTCACTTCCCACTCCCGTGCCCTTCCTGAGTTTATATCCCTCATAGAACCTCTGTTCCCTCCCTGAACCAAGGCCATTGCTCTTCTTAGCCAGTTTCCTAACTCTGGATGTCTTTTTACTCCCAAAGTGGTCAGTGACGGCTCACATCGTAGGTGGGCATCTGGGCTTCCCAAATGAAGACCACAGCGTGGCCCTTCCTGTTCCTGACACTTAGCCCGTGCCAGGGCCACATCTGCAATTCCTCAGGCTGGCCCCAGTTTGAACCTAGAATCCAGCCTAGAGCTGTGCCAATTCCTCAGGCTGGCCCCAGTTTGAACCTAGAATCCAGCCTAGAGCTGTGCGATGTGTGCGTGTGGGGGGCGGGGGGCACCCTGTAGGGTAGAGATCCAAGAGAAAAACAGAGGTGGGGATTCTGTGCTCTGCACTGAGACTGCTCCGTCCCCTCAACTCTCAGCCACCCAAGCCCACCCTTTGGTCGTCAGTCTGCCCTCACCCCTCTCCAACCCAGCGCCAGGACAGACGGGTCATAGGACCCGGAGGTGCAGGCCTGACATTTCCGCTCCCGAAGACACGCCCCCCTCTAACACTGGCACCCCCAAACCCTGACTTTCGACTTTCGCTGCTAGGACCCCAGACCGGACCCCAGACCGAGGACTGTGGCCAGCTTGCCTTCGGGCAAAGGTCGCTCCGGACGGTGCCACGCCGGAGAGCCGAAGAAATGAAAGTGGAAGCGAGCTGGGTCGCGTTCCCGCAGGAACACACAAGCTCACTCACCGGGTCCGCCTCGGCGGGTTGGTGCGAGTCCTTCTCTGGCCGCGGTCACATCCCTAAGGCTCTGGGTCTTCTCCTTTGGCCGGTCCTCCCGCTGTGCTGGTTCTCTCGCCTGTCCACCGGCCTGCCCAGCCGGCCGCGGTCGCACTATCGCCCCCGAGGCGACGCCAGCTCCGCCCTGGCCCTCCCGGCCCCGCCGCGCTGCGGCCCAGGGGCGGGGAATGGGCGGGGAGTGGGGACCCTCCCCTGCCACCCTCTAATGCTCAGACACACTCACTGTCGCCCTTCCGGGAAGTCCATATCGTGCTCCCAAGTTCCCACTGGGCAAACTCAGAGTCTGCTTGGACTTCTACCAAGGAGGCAACCTCAGTTTTCTTCCCTGTAAAATGGGGACAAGTCCAGTTTCTGGCTGGCACAGACACAAAAGCGCTACTAGATAATGGTTTTCTTGCTCTCCCAGAATCATGTGTGCCTGAACTCAGTAAGGGATCAGTTCTGCCCTTTACACTTCCAGACCCTTGGCTCTTGGCATAGTGCCTAGTACACAGCAGGCACTTAATACTCAGTTGCTGAATGAATGAATAAATGCATTGGGACTCATGAGTGTGTCCCTCACCCCAGCACTGAAAGGACTGGCCCTGAAGAGTGTTCAGATCACAGACTTTCACACGTACACACACACACACACACACACACACACACACACACCCCTGCTACAGGGCTGGGGTCCTTGCTCAGACTGAGCTGTTTCTCCTCACTCTTTACCTGAAGTCGTCCCATATCCCACTGCCAGATGTTTGTTCCAACCAAATTCAAACCCTTCAAGACCTGATCTGTTCTCCCTACTTTTCTTTTTCTTTTTTTTTAATCCTCACTTGAGGACATTTTTGCATTTATCTTCAGATAGAGTGGGAAGGAGAGAGGGAGGAAGAGAGAAAGAAACATCGATGTGAGAGAGACACATTGAGTGGTTGCCACCCACACAACCCCAACCGGGGCCAGGGACAAACTGCAACCAAGGTACGTGCCCTTAGCAGGAACAGAACCCAGAACTCTCTGGTCTGCGGGCCGACGCTCTAACCGCTGAGCCAAATCGGCCAGGGCTGTTCTCCCTACTTTTCTCTCCTCCCTACTTTTCTATCTGGGTTCCTCCCCTGAAGGCTGACAGATATTCCACACCAGCACCCAATCACTCTGTGGGCCCCAGGCCCAGGGACCAGGTAGCTGTCGGGATGGGAGGGAGGGTTGGAGACCTTCTAGAGTGGGAGGGCCAAGCAGATGAGTGGGCTGCAGAAGTCACCCTGGTGGGGTGACGAGGTGAGTAGGCAGGAGTAGGTGAGAGCTGGTGGCTGGAGGAAGGCATTTACTGTAGCACAGATGCTTACTGGGCTCCCCTGTATCTGGATCTTCTGCTTGTTCGATGGCACAAGAACACTCTGGACCCTGAAGAATCCCAACTCATAGAACTGAAGATTTTTTTTGTTGAGCACGTATTTTTGCCCAGGTTTAAAGTTAATTTGCTGTACCTCCTGCTGGGATTCCTGCTGTATGGATCCTTAACTCTACCTCAACCCCCTCTAAATATTTGCATGTTTAGTATACAGAAGAGATGCAAATCTAGTCCTTCATTTGTTTGATACCCTAATCAATCCCATTTATTAAACATGACTGTGCACTGAGAGCAGAGCACCAGGTGATGAAGCTGCCCCCGTCCCTGACCTCAGCTGACAACATGTCAGCAAGGAGGACAGCACACAGAGATAGCACAAGGTCAGAGCTCAGTCATCCAGAAGTGAGAACATGGTGACAGACAGATGAGGAGCACTTTGTGAGACTAGGTTAACTGCAGGAAACACATGGAACACCCAACTTGGGGACTTTGAGGAAAGTTTAAAGAAGGCACTATTTAGAGGTGTAGTCATGGTATAGAGAAACCACACAGATAGTATATCACCAAAGGACTAGCAAGAGCAGCCCTTCAATGTTCACTCTAGGCTGAAGCTGTCAACCCCTTGCTGAAGGGGTGCTGGGAAGGAGTGGCCAAAGTGGGAGCTACAAAGGGGAGAGCTACTGACTGGAGCTGTGGCCTAAGCTTGAGGGGCATACCCAACTCATAGCAATCATTCTGCAAAGGACTGGGGGTCTAAAGCTGACTCCCTCACCTCCCTTCCTCTGATTTATGGCCAGGTTTCCTCATTGGCCAACTCCTACTCTTGAAGCCAAGGACAGGCAACCTGTTGATTCAGCCCACAGAAGTCAGCCTCCTCAAGCCTAAAGCTGGGTAGAGGAGGATGGAGAGTGTGTCTGGTGGAGCAATGGAAGGTACTTGACACATGGGCTCAGGGACTTTGACTTACAGAGCTGTGTTTTCCTTATCATTCAGTTCTAAATATTCCATAATTTCCTTGTCATTTCCTCTTTAACTCATGGATGATTTAGAAGTGTGTTTTTTAGTTTCTCAGCCTATGGGAGGTTTATGTTTCTTGTGTTAACTTCTAATTATATTGCATTGTGGTTGGAGAGCATGGTCTGTAAGATTCTTTGGAATGTGATGTGACTCCTTCTGTGGCTTTGCACATGGTCATTTGCTGTACCTCCAGCTGGGTTTTATAGGATGGGCAGGGGTTTTCCTGGTGAAGAGTGAAAAGTACAGAATCTTACATTGTGAGAAATATCTAATCCATCTAGAAGGAACTTCAGAAGTTGCCAGCTCACCCACAGAGTCCCAGTGTCTGTACAATACTAGCTGACAGGTTAAAGGGTTGGGAGAAAACAGATTTCTTAAATCCCTGCACCCCTTCCTGTGGCTCTCAGTCTGGGCTAGAGAGACTGTGTTCTTACAGGAGGCTCTGCTGGGGCTGAGAAGAGCCAGACCTTTGAGAGTAAGCTCCTGACTTTACCACGTATTAGCTGTGTAACTTTGGGGTGCTCCTGTCCTCCCTGATGGCATGCTGTAACCCTATAGCACTACAGTCTACTCAGGATGGGCTTGTTCCCTGCCACTGTGTCAAATAAGGCCCTGTCTCTGAAGCTTGGTGGGAGCCACTGAGAACCTAGTTAAGGACGTACCCTTCTCCACTGCGCAGTCCAAGAACATGACTCCTCGATGGGAGCTCTAGTGGCAGGGGGTGGTATACAGATCTGGGCTCCTGCCCTGCTGGGTGTCTCTAGGAAAGTTTCTGCCTCTCTGTGGACCTCAACTTTCCCCATCTGCTCCACCAAAGCATCTTCCAGTCGTACCATTTCCAGTGCCTCATCAGGACCAGCTTTCTGCTCTTGCCCCTACGGGCCTGTACCCAGGGACTCCACTGATACAGAGTAGCCTCTCCCTGGGGACTTCCCAGCCCCTCATATGCCAGGAAAGTTTCCCTCTCAGAATGAGCTACAGTACCCCCAGATCACCCCACCAGGCTTCTGAAAACTCTTGAAGCTGGATGGAAACTCTTGAAGCTGGATGGGGCCCACCTTCTCCTCAATCTCCCAAGAAAAAATTCTATTTTAGCTTCTGCCTTTTCCTGCCCAGAAGGCAGTATCTTTCATCCTGGCACATTTAGGAAAAAGCAAAGAATAGCCTCATTGCAATAAGAGGAATTGAGGTTAGACTTCCTTTTGTTTGAAAGACAATATTGAAAGAATGTATATTACAATTCTGTGTGACCTTGGACAGGCATTTGTCCTCTCTGAGTCTATTTCCCCCTCTGTAAAATGGAAACACAACAATACGTGCCCCACAGAAGAGCTATGAGGATCAGCAGGACTGTGGTCAGTCTTTTTGAGGGTGCTGCCTTCAAGCACCCAGCAGGCTTTTGAGTAGAAGAGGGATGGTACTGTTCCTGTGGTCATGGAAGACAGGGGGCAGAGACCAGCACAACATGAGGGTACACTTAACACATCAGGGCTGTCCAACCGTGTAGCCTGGACGGCTGTACTCATTTCTTGGGGTGGGAGTGGGGAGAATGTGCAATCAAAGGTGGCACAGCCCACTGTAACATGGGCTTCAGAAGGTTTCAGTCCCTCTGAAGAGTAGGAGGGCCCTCTTGACACCAAGAACCTCAGACTTGAGTGTTCTGTGCTCCAAGGTCCCCCTTCCCTTCCGGCTCCCTGACTACCCCTTGAGTTGAGGGCATAGCCCTCACCTCTCCAGGTTTCAGGACTTCCATCTTGGGAAGGAAGCCTCTGGAGGCTGAGGTGAAAGCCTGGTGTGCATAAGGGCCTTAGGATAATCTCAGAGCACGCCCTCCAACCTGACCTGACTCCAGTGCCTCGGGCAGGCCTTGCCCTCTACTAGATGCGTGCCCTCCAACCACTTAGGTTAGTTCTCTGCTCAGGGCTGTTCCGGGAGTGAAGGTGATAGTTGGTGGGTGTGGGGAATAAGGTCAGTGGGGGCAGTTTTACCAGGGTCCCAGGCTCAACCTTCCATAGAACCCACCATGAAGCCTACACAGGAAGTTCTGTTCAACCCTACCTGTTCTGCCGTTGTGATACCTCACTTTCAGCCTCTGGGGCTGCCACCCTGGAGCATGACCCCAGTTCAAACCCTCCTCAAACTACCCCAGAGGCCATGGCACTTTCTTCCTCTACAGCATCCTTTCTCCCAGTGTTTTCAGTAACATCTGCCTTAGAGTCAGTGGGCATGGGGTTCCTTACAGAGGACCATCTGATTCTGACCAAGCCTGGAGATCTATCAGTTACAGGAAGGACTAGGAAGAGAGGAACAAGTGAATGACACTATGGGAATGAAATCTGCAAAATCCAGAATGACAAAAATTCTATAGGACAGATTCTTAACACATAAACATCAAGAAAACAAAAGAGAGGAGGGAAAACTGTAAGTTAAAAGTGACTTAATACGGAATACTACTCAGCAATAGCAGCAAACCAGCTATTAAGACTTGCAGCAGCCCTGGCTGGTTTGGCTCAGCGGTTAGAGCGTCGGCCTGCGGTCCGGAGGGACCCGGTTTTGGTTCCTGCTAAGGGCATGTACCTTGGTTGCAGTTTGTCCCCAGCCCTGGTTGGGTCGTGTGGGTGGCAGCCACTCGATGTATCCTTTTCACATCAATGTTTCTCTCTCTCTCTCTCTCTCTTTCTCTCTCTCTCTCTCCCTCCCACTCTATCTGAACAAAAAATGGAAAAATGTCCTCGGGTGAGGATTAAAAAAAAAAGATTTGCAGCAACTTGGATGAATTTCAAAGGCATTGTGCTGAGTGAAAAATTCAATTTTAAAGGTTACTACTATATGATTTCACCATATACATCCTCAAAATGACAAAATTATGATGATGGATAGCAGATCAGTAGTTGCCAGGAGATAGGGCTGAGGAGGAGGGTTCAACTATAAAGGTGTACATAGCACAAGGGACTTTCTTTCGGTGACAGTAGCCACAAACCTATATATGTAATAAAGTTTCATAGGACTAAAAACAAAAGGGAAAAATGAGCCTAAAATTATTTTAAAATAAAAGTTAAAAAAAATAACTTAGACATATCTAGTTGCAAGATGTGAATCTTGTTTGGATCCTGATTTGAACAAATCAACTGAAAAAAATAAGTTATGGGATAATTGGGGAAATTTGAATATGACTGAACATTTGATAATATTAAGGAATTATTGTTAATTAATTTAGAAAAAAATTTAAGGTATTTATCCTTTAGAAATATAAGCAGAGGTATGTATGAAGGAAACAATGTGATGTCTGAGATTTGGAGGGAAAGTGGGTGGGGAACCAAATGAAATCAGATTGTCATGTGTTGAAAATTCTTTGTGTTGGGTGATAAGAACTTGGTGTTCATTATACTATTAGTTTTACTTTAGTGTATGTTTGAAAAGTTCGACAGTAAGACGTTTCAAAGAGGAAACACAAAAGGCAGGGCCTCTCTTATTGAGATTTTATTTCAGTTTCTTTGGGTTGGGCACAGGAAGCTGCTGGTTAAGCAAGGTCCCCAGTGATATTTATAAACAAGACTAAGGTTTAGGAATCTTTACTGTAGACTGAATATTTGTGTCCCTCTAAATTCATATGTTGAAACCTAATCCCCTATGCAATGGTATTTGGAGGTGGGGCCTCTGGGAGGTGATGGGGTTAGTGCTCTTATAAGAGAGACCTCAGAGAGCTCCCTTCCTTTTCTATCAATGTGAGGACAGCGATAGAAGACAGCCCTCTATGGACCAGGAAGCAGGTTCTCACCAGACACTAAACCTGTAGGTACCATTGGACTTCCCAGCCTCCAGAACTGTGAAAAATTAATTTTTGTGGTTTATGTCACCCTGTCTATGGTATTCTGTTATAGCAACCCAAATAGACTAATGCAACTTCTTCCTGTTCCCAATATTACTTATGGGGTGAGGTAAAAATGGGGGACCCCCCCAGAGGGCCAGCATAATGTCTACTAATAGTAGTAGTAAATTAATATAGTTTTTAACATCTTAGAGAGACAGCATGGTGGGATGGAAACGGCACATCTATTTTTGTTTTATTAATTGATGAAAGTATTTACTGAGGACTCATTAGATGTTAGGCACTATATTTGGGCTAGATGCAGACCTGGGCTTGCTTTTTGGGTGATGACAACAGTCTCGATCTTTTGAGGAACTTTTCACAGGCCAGGATGCCCCACTTTATAGCTCCTCCGACTGAGGTTGCAGATGATCATCAAAGAGCAACAGGTCAGAGAGGGGTAGCTTTTTAAAAAATGTTTTTATTGATTTTTTTAGAGAGAGGGAGAGATAGAAACATCGATGGGAGAAACATCAATTGGCTGCCTCCTGCATGCCCCCTACTGGGGATTGAGCCTGCAACTCAGGCATGTGTCCTGACCAGGCATAGAACTGGGACCTCTCAGTCCATGGGATGATGCTCAATCCATGAGCCACACTGGCTGGGTAGAGGTGGCTTTTAAAGGGGAAGGGTCATAGCCCTGGTTGATTTGGTTCAGCAGTTAAAGCAACAGCCTGTGGATCGAAGGGTCATGGGTTTGATTCCCGGCAAGGACATGTACTTGGGTTGCAGGTTCATTCCCCAGCCCTGGTCGGGGTCACACAGGAGGCAACCAATGGATGTTTCTCTCTCCCTCCCTCCCTCCCTTCTACTATCTCTAAAAATCAATGGGAAAATATCCTTGGTGAGGATCAACAAAAAATAAAAATAAATAGCCCTGGCCAGTTTTGCTCAGAGGTTAGAGCGTCAGCCTGCGGACTAGAGTCCTGGGTTCGGTTCCCGCTAAGGGCACGTACCTCGGTTGCAGTTTGTCCCCAGCCCCAGTTGGGGTCGTGTGGGTGGCAACCACTTGATGTGTCTCTCTCACATCGATGTTTCTCTCTCTCTTCCCCCTCTCTCCTTCTGCTCTATCTGAAAATAAAAATAAAAAAACCAAAAAATAAATCAAGGGGAAGGGTCTTTGGCTGTAAGTCTAATCTCCTCAAGCATTTCACACCAGGTACTATGGTCTGGCAAAATTCACATCCCCCACAGTACCCAGTAGTGTTCTTTAACCCTCCTTGCTCCTTCTCTGAAATGGCACTGGTCAGGTATCTCATATTGTAATTATTCATGTCCGTGTCTCTCCCTTGCTCCTCAAGGGCAAGGGCTAAACTTTTAAACCTGGGCCCAGCAACAAGCATGCTGAACCTGGCCCTGCCTCAAGGCCTCAGCACATGCTGTTCTCCTTACCTGGTGCTTTTCTTCAAGTATCAGTTGTCACCTTTGCAGAGACGGTGCTCTTGACCATTAGGCTATTGCCTCCATTCCACATTCTATATTATTTTATTTTCGTAGCACTACCAGTATTTGAAATAATTTGTTATTCATTTGTCTTCTTCACAAGCATATAAACTCATGACAAGGGCCTTGTCTGTCCTGCTCATTGCCTTATTCCTTAGCTTCCTACACCTGTGCTTGACATATACTAGGTGCCCACTACATATTAATGAACGCTGAATCAGTGCTAAATCAAAGGAATGGGGAAGTGGTCATTTATACCTCTTCTCCAAGGCTGAACAAAGGTCAGTATTATGGAGACTGCAAACAAACAAACAAACAAAACAAACAAACCATGTGGCAACTGCTTCCAAACTGGTTAGAGAAGAAGGAAATAGCAGTGTAAACCTCCTGAGAACAAGACAAGGCAAACTATGACCAGGTGCTAGATATGAGGCAAAGAATCAGAGGCCAGAGAGACACAGGTGATGGCTGGAACAGAGCTTGAGAGCAGGAATGATCCTTCCCATCTTCCTGCATCAGCACCTAACGTGGCAGTGGCAGAGTAGGTATTGAATTGCACTGGGCAGAGAGCCAGCAGATTGGTGACTTACAGAGATTTTGTTATAATTTGGTAGCTTGGATTACAAATATTCCTATTCAATAAATTCTCAATCTAAGTGTGTTAAGAGATTCTCTTAAATTCAGAGTATTTAAATATAGGCGCGCACACACACAAGATGATGTTTTGGCTAAAATACGTGTCATTTATTTATTCAACAAACAACGGAGTGTCTTCTATGTTCCAGGCCATGTCCTTGGCACTGGGAATGGAGAAAAACCCTGTCCCTCAAGGAGCTCACAGTCTAGTGGGGGCAAAAGACACATAAATATATAAATATAATGCAGAATATGCAAAAGGGACCACTATGGGAGGCAAAGGACAGAGGCCTCCAATTCTATGGTTAATGTCCACAGGAAAGGAAGACCTGGCATTTTTTGTGAGGAACACATAAGGCAATGGTTTTCAAAGTGTGGCTGGTGAATCACCTGCAGCTGAATCATCTGAAGCACATCTTAAAATGCAGATTCCCAGCATTTCCTGCAAAGATTGATGCAGTAGGCTGAAGTTTGGGACTTGGGAATCTGCATTCTGAAGTGTTCAAGGTAATTCTACTTCAACTTAAAGTTCGAGAACCTGTGAGATAAGGTTTGCTTGTTCAACTGGAATGAAGAATGATATGCACATCTTAATTTGTGTTGGTCTTTAATGATAGGCGGGGAAGTAGACAAGAGGGAGGGAGTTGACATTTACTAAGCTCTACTGTATTCTAATTAATTAATGCTCACAATAATCCTATGAGGTAGATATTATTATTATTCTAATTTTACAGATGAATAAACAGAATTAGAGAGTTTAAATCATTTGTTCAATATTATAGACTAATGAATTGCAATACTGACATCTGAATCCAGATTCATTCGACTTTAAAGACTATCCACTTTCTATAACACCATGTTGCATCAGCAGATGAATTTACTGACTTATGTTACAATTTTCTTTTAGTTCTTTGCCAGATCTTGCTAGGTAAATATAAAGAACAGCCAGATGGTGCTTTGGTCATGTCCAGTGTAACTGTCCATGGATACATCCTTTCTTGGCAAGTGGGGGTTTAGGGCAAAGCTGGGAGGAACAATAAAATGAGCAGCCAGTCCCCCCCTATCATTTTCTCACCCTCTGGTGGAGGTGTTATGAAAATGTTCTATGGCTAGGAACTGAGTCCATCTGAATAGAAAAGCAAACATAGATACTTATAATAGCAACACCACCTGATGCTAAAGATTCCTGGGACTCAAAACATCAAAACTCAAGTTTCTTAAAAAATTAACTGTCAGGACCAGAGGTAGGTCCAGAATTTGCATTAGGAAACAGCTCTGTCTCCAGAGAAATTGTGAAAGGGTAGCAGCTTTTCCAGGTTAAACAAACACTACCTGTCTCTATACACAGACTCAGAGGTACAACAAAAAAGACACAGCTCAGAAAATAATGGAAGTCCAACCCCATTTAAAGAACTTGGGGACAGGCCCAACCTGTAATGAAGAAAAACATACACAGACTCTGTAAGTACTGGTTCCATTCCCATTCACCCTATTCAGTCTCGTACAACCAGATCTCGGGCAGCAGCAAAGTAGAGCGTGTCAGAGCAGGAAAAGGAAAGGCATAGCAGAGGCAGTTAACAATAATGGTGGGGGGGCTGGGACTGCAGGTTCAAAAGGCTGGTGTGTAACCACCACCCTCCTCTATCACTGAGCTTGGAGCCACCACAGTGACACTACAAACTACATGGGAGTGTCCAGCGCTGGAGATATCCTTTCTCATTTTTGGTGTTTCAACAACTACTGAGTTCAAAGGTAAGTTGTGATCAAATCAGCTCATATCACTGACACAATAGCACACAGCTTAGATTTCACTGTTGAGCGTAACAAAGATTGTAAGCCAGACTTTATTCTATTGCTATATTTTCTCCACTTCCAATCTGGGAACATTTGCTTCCACCCACTTTTTCATATAATACTAGCATGGCTTAGAGTTGTTTAAAAAAAACACCCAACATCACAAAAACATGCAAATCTGGACTGAGCCTTCCTTACAAAAAAGTTGATTTATTTACACTACACTCCAAATACACAGCTTTTAAAAGGCAGAGTTAGAGGAGCAGGTGCCACAAACCATGGTTTAAAAATATGCAGGCACTGTACCTGTGTATTTAAGTATGCCTGGAATCTACTGATGCTTCAAACCAGCTACACTAAAGGCAACTCTGGGGGCGTCTAGATGAAGTCTTACTCCTGATGGCAATGGCTGGTTGTTCCAGAGTCTAAACAGGATATTTGGGTTTTGCTTTTGGCCAACTAACTGGCACCTGAAAAGAGGACATAAAGCCCACATATAACGATAGCAGGTCTTCAAGCTTATCCTGTCACAAGTTTATAAAGATGAGGAACTACAGGCATTTGGAAAATATCCACAATGCAAAAGCCCTTGTAACAAAATGTTACACTATGTAAAATTAAGTCAACCATTCTGTGGATCCTTGGCTATCTCTGACTATGACCTCAAACACTTAAAAAGGGAACCTCAAGTATGCTGAGATAATTATCAGAATGTTTGGCTACCTTTGTTCCTGAATATTAAGTAATAGGGTTCACCTCCATGATTACTTCTTGCATAAGCATACAGGGCAACTCCTCAGAGACTGCACATTATAGATGCTGAGCTCCTGGGAGTTCAAGGGAATGGGTGAGCTCCAGACTATCCAGAGCTGAGCAGACTCTGTAAGGAGCCAACTCTTACGGCTCTAAGTCTTATCCTGGTTCTGGGCACATTTCAATTCTGCTCCAAGTCCACTTTGCTCCAATTCAGCGATGACAGACATATATTTGAACTCATTTGGTCTGAAGTTAAAGGTCTCCACTAATCCATAGGTCTCCTTCCGTTCAGTGGCATAGAAGAGCTGGACTTGGTTGGCAATGCACTGCGCCTCAGCAACGTTCTGTAAGGTAAAAAGGACTGTGAGGTCTCTCCTGGCACAGGAACACAAAGCTCTGTGTTTGAGTCCTATGGCAAGTGGACCCTCACCCAGGATCACTGCTTCAGGAAGCTTCCCCAACTTCCTGATCTTCCAAGTCTCAGTTAGGTGGCCCCTCTCTGTGTACCCAGATTACCCCATGCTTACTTCTATCACAGTATCTTTTATTAAAAAAATGTTTTTATTTTTTTCTTAGAGAAAGAAGAAGGGAGAGAAAGAGAGAGAGAAACAGCGATGTGAAAGAGAAACATCAATTGGCTGCCTCCTGCATGCCCCCTACCAGGGATAGAGCCCACAACCCAGGCATGTGCCGACTGGGAATTGAACCGGCCACAGGATGACACTCAACCAATTGAACTACATCAGTCAAGGCGATCATAGTATTTATCATACAATATTGTATTTGTCCTTTTCTTTTTTCCTTGTCTATCTTCCCTAGTATGAATTCCTCAAAGTATATGTGCTTGTTTTATAACCCTGCACAGAGTGACAGCTGGTGAATGTTTGACTAAATTATTGCATATGCTCATAATTTCCCTCTTCATTCAGTTCCTTTATAATTGCTGAGCGTCAACCCATGCACCAAGAGGTCACCGGTCAGAGCACATGCCCAGGTTGTGGGCCCAATCCCCAGTGGGGGGCATCAATGTTCTCTCTCATCGATGTTTCTACCTCTCTCTCCCTCTCCCTTCCTCTCTAAAATCAATAAAGAAAAAAATTTAATATAAAAAGAAAATAAATAAAAATAAGGGGGGGGGAGAACAATAGTTACTCAGTTCCAAGCGTTTGTTTGTGAGTACTAAGTTCTTTTTTTTAATCCTCACTTGAGGATATTTTTTTCTATTTATTTTCAGACAGAGTGGGAGGGGGAGAGGGAGAGAAAGAGAGAGAGAGAGAGAGAAACATTGACGTGACATTAGAGGGACACACTGACTGGTTGCCTCCTGCACGATCCTGACCAGGGCCAGGGATGAACTGCAACTGAGGTATGTGCCTTTGGCCGAAATCGAACCCGCGACTCATTGGTGCGCAGGCCGACGCTCTACCACTGAGCCAAACCGGCCAGGAGAAGTACTAAGTTCTTGACTAACCAGACACACTCAAATAAAACCCGTTCTTGATACAACGTTGGTCAGAAAACTAGTGCCAAAGCCGCTGTGACAGTTTCCATTTCGTCCACAAATCCTGACACTCCCCCTTGATGGAGCCTCGTTTCCCTTTCTTTGAGTACAGGCTGTACTTACTGACTTGCATCTAACAAACAGACTACAGTGGTATGACAGAGAGTGACTTCTGCCTTTAAGTCACAAAAGACATTGTAGTTTCTGTCTTGCTGTCTCTCTTGAATCACTTGCTCTGGGAAAGTCAGCTGCCATGTCACGAGGACATTTAAGTCGCCCTGCAGAGAAGCCAACATAGCAAGGAAACTTGAGGCCTCCTGCCAACAGCCATGAGAGTGGGGTCAGAGGCTGATCCTCAAGCCCAATCAACCTTCAATGGCTGTGGCCCTGGCCAACATCTTGACAGAAATTTCATGAGAGATTGAGCCAGAACCACCCAGCTATGCTGCTCTTGAATTCCTGACTCACAGAAACTATGAGGTAATACATTTTTGTTTTAAACCACTAAGTTTGGGGTAATCTGCTACGCAGCCATTTCTAACTAATGCACCAGCCTAATAGCCTCAGGGAAGGAAAGGGGCCACCTTCTGGAAAGCTAAGAGGCAGGGAAATGGTGACCAGACAGGTGGGTTCAGGACATAGGCTACATTTTTGAAATCTTATAAGAGTTACTTCAAACAACTCTTTTGCTACCTATACATTCTCTAGTTATACCTAGTTGGAGACACGTACTCATTATCATTGTGTTCATATAGCCAAAACCTAACCCCAAAGGATAATGGAAAATTGCCAGTAAAACTGACTGTTAAAAGTGTGCTATGTCTAACTAGAGAATGATGAAGACAGGTTTATAAATACCCTAGGCCGCTTTCTCTCCATTCTCTCCCAGTGGGCTTTCAGGTCATTTTCTCACAAGCAGGCACTAATCTCTGAGACTGGATCTTCAATCAAAAGCCTTTTTCCAAAATGCTGCCTATTTCAAATTAATAGAATTTCAGAGCTGGAGGGGCCTCAGAGATCACCCAGTCCTCATTTAATAAGCCAAAAAACCAAAGCAGATGAGGTCCAGGGATAGGCCCAAGGTCATGTGGCTAGCAAGTGGCAGAGACAGGCCCAGACCTCCGGACTCCCAAACTGGTACTCCCACCACTTCACCCTGTACTGTTTCTGGTGGGGCAAGACAATTAAAATCGATCAAGGTGTTAGCTCTGCTTCATCAATTTTACCTTTTTTATACTCAAACATGTCTCAAGAGCAGACTATTTCTAAAGCAAATGCATTACCATAATCTGAGGCAGATATCACCATTCTCTGAGCACCTGAACTGTAGGGCCTCTGACAATCAATGTTTATTTGAGGCTTAGGATGGTGAAAGTAGGGGTTCTCTCCGCTGTGTTCATTCTAGAACAATGCTATTCCAACAGCAGAGTCATAGGGGCTCTGTGGAGGTGCCCCAGGTCCCTTCACCTGTTTCAGCTATTCTACCCTGGAGTTGACATAGTAAGGTTTTGTTTAGATAAGGGTTCCTTCTACTGGTTTGAAGACCCCTAGCGCAGCGGGTAGGGGTGTTAGACACAGGGAGCTATCTGCATGTGCCTCTCGAGGGTAATGGAAAGCACCCAGCGCTGTATTCGCCCCCTGCCTTTTGTTCTCTTAACTCACAATATGAAACAGTAAGTAGTCTCCTCTCTTTCCAAGACCCTAGAAGATAAACATATTAACTCCCTGTGTTGCTCAATAAGGAGGTATATTAAACCCGATTTCTCCTTCTCTTTCAATTTTCATAGCTATGATCAATTTACCAAACCTGGCCCATTGTACTCACTATATATTTCTGGGGTCATTCTCTCTTCTCCAGTGACTCTTTTGTGTCTTCAAGATAAAACTAAACCTTTAAACATAACCCACTAAACCTTTTTTTATATCAGTGATACCAAACTGTTTGTAATACTGCAAGTCAGTTTACACCACATAGAACTTACTTATGCTATTTGCGCTGTGTGGAACATTCCCCTCTCCCTCTCACCTCTCTTTACCTGGCTAAACTCTGGCTCATTTTTGAAGGTCCAGCACAGGCATCATCTCTAGGAAATCTTTTTTCCTCCTTCTGGGTCAGGGAACCCCTCCCCACAGAAAGCTGTGCAGGTTTCTATTCTAGCACTTACTGCAATCCAATGAAATCATCTATTGACATAGATATGAAACCAGATAAAGTTTTCTAATATTCTACTAAATTCTCAGCATTAAAGTTAGTTAAGAAGAAACCTCTAGTTTCCATGTATTTAGATTACTGTATTTGGAAATACTATGCCTAAGTACAAATTCATGCACGAATATGCAGGTGATTATATATTCATATTACATTTCTAGGTTTCCCATCTCTGAATCACACAACTCTACAATAACTTCTAACATGTCTAATTCTGTACAGCAGTTCCTCAAATAACATCATTTCATTTAATGTTGTTTTGTTATAATACTGATGTGATGCTGTAGGAACTTAACTGTTGTGTGTATCAATTAGCCAATGGTAAAACTGGTTTTGTTATATGTCAATTTGCCGCAGTTCTAAGAACCTACCGACAACATAAAGGACTTACTGTACTACACTGGACATTCACAGTCAAGTTGACTTATACAAGGCAAATCCAGGGTGGAGCAAAGGTAGGTTTACAGTTGTGAGTATACAAAACAGAGTTTATTATTTTCCATATAAACAACTGTAAACCTATTTTTGCCCCACTCTGTGTTTGTTGTCTGGTATGCTGTTAAATGTTATTAAGGCCAGGAAGCAAATTTTAATGATAATGGGAACCGTGTACAGTTTGAGACCACCAAAGTGAGGTGGTTAAAATGCCAAAGTAGCCCTGGCTAGTGTGGCTCAGTTGGCTGGGCATTGTCCTGTACACTGAAAGGTTGCTGGTTTGATTCCCGGTCAGGGCACATGCCATGCCAGGTTGAGGGTTCGATCCCCAGTATGGGGCATGCAGGAGGCAGCTGACAGATGCTTTTTCCTCACATTAATGTTTCTCTCCCTTCCTCTCTCTCTAAAATATATAAATAAATACATTTTAAAAAGCCAGCCTGGCCAGTGTGGCTCAGTGGATTGATTGAACATCATCCCATGGACTGAGAGGTCCTGGTTCGATTCCCAGTGAGGGCACATGCCCGGGTTGCAAGCTTGATCCCTAGTAGGGGGTGTGCAGGAAGCAGCCAATAGATGGTTCTCTCACATTGCAGTTTCTATCTCCCTTTCTTTCTCTCTAACAAAATAAATCAATAAAACCATTAAAATTAAAAAGCCAAAGTAGAAGGGCTCTTCTCTGACTGCCAGAGTGCACTTTTAATATGGTTAGAGGCTGTGCTTTGCTGAAGATCACAAAATAAAGTGTAATCTTTATGTCACTCACTCCTCAGTTCAAATCTTAAACCTTGTCATTATTGGTAACTATATCTCCTCCAAATCTCAATTTGAAACGCCCCTGCTTTGTCTACTATTTTCCTATCTTTTAAGCTCACCCCCAACTTCAAAAACCTTTTAACTCCACTAGGACAGAATTGTTTCTAACCTCACTTATGTTTTCACTTCCCTCTTTATCCAGCTAGCATTCCATGGTCAACAACTATATTCACTCCTTTGCCTTTACCTCTATCTTCCTGGTTGCTGTTTTACTTCATCATATCACTTGGGTAAACCATAACCCTAGTTAAATCCAACTCTCAGCCCTCTTTCTGTGCCGGCACCCACATAGGCATTCTCTTCCATGCTCCTAGGCCACAGGCAGGCATACACTTTCTGTAAAGGGGAGACAGTTAATATTTTAGGCTCTATGGGACCTATAGTTTTTGTTGTAATTACTCAACTCTCAGTTGCAGACCTAAAACAGCCATAGATAATATGTAAATGATAATCACGGCTGTGTTCCAATAAAACTTTTTATACAGACACTGAAATTTGAATTTCATATACTTTTCACAGGTCATAAAACCTTCTTTAGGTTTGCCTCCCTTCCCCCAGCCATTTAAAGATGTAGAACACATTCTTAACTCATGGGCCTTCTAAAAACAGATAGTGGACTGGATTTGGCCCACAGGCTGTATGTAGTTTGCTGACTCCTGCCCTAGTCAACGATTTCAGACTTTCTCTTTTCCACTCTATTGTGCTACACCTATTCATTCTTCCATCCACGCTCTCAGCTTTCTTTTCACTAAGCAATCTAGAGAGAAGTTCTACCGGCTACCACCACCTCTATCCGTTTAACTGTATTTGTGTCCTTACATCCTGGCTTTTCACCTGTTTTTATATTTTCCTCATGCCCAGACTTACCCACTCAAAAATCTCTCTTCAACATTTCTTTCCTCTCTCCTCGTGATCAATATTTCCCTCTCTACTGGGTCTTTCTATCAGCATCCAAACATTATTTCTCCCATATTTAAAACAGAACAAAAAAACCTTCTCATTCACTTCTCCCCTCCAGGTATTGCCCTGCTCTTTCCTTCCCCTCTTCAGACTTGTTTATGCTTATTCTATTTTTTTTTTTTTAATCCTCACCCGAGGACATTTTTGCATTTATCTTCAGATACAGTGGGAGGGAGAACATTGATGTGAGAGAGAGGAACATCGATGTGAGAGAGAGGAACATCGATGTGAGAGAGACACATTGAGTGGTTGCCACCCACACAAACCCAACCGGGGCCAGGGACAAACTGCAACCGAGGTACGTGCTCTTAGCAGAAACTGAACCTGGGACTCTCTGGTCCGCAGGCCGATGCTCTAACCGCTAAGCAAAACTGGCCAGGGCTGTTTATGCTTACTCTAATTTCTCTTTCCATACTCTCTTTGATTGATTGATTGATTGATTGACTGATTTGTATATGCCCCTAGCGGGAACCAAACCTGGGACTCTCTGGTCCACAGGCCAATGCTCCAACCGCTGAGCCAAACCAGCCAGGACCTTTCCATACTCTCTTAAATGTACTCCAATTATGCATTTATCCTACTGCTCCTTTTGAAAAGTCCCTGATGAAGGTCCCCCATGACTTCCATGTTGTGATGTAGTAAATTCTCAGTCCTTGTCTTACTTTCCCTATTAGCAAGAGAGAATTGGCCAGTTGAGCACTCCTAATTCCTTGAAACATTTTATCTCAACTTCCAGGCATTCAACCATCTTAGTTTTCGGCCTACATCACTGACTTGTTTCTTTTAAATCTTCTTTGCTGATGCTTCCTCATCTCCACTGGGCTCAGTTCTTAGACCTCTTCTCTTTTCTATCTCCATTTACTTCCTTGATGATTTCATTCAGTCTCGCAGCTTTAAATAACAATCCATATGCTGACAACTCCTATATTTATATATCGAGCCTGGACCTCTCCTCTGAACTCCAGGCTCATATATCTAACTGCCTACTACTTGGAAATCTAATAGGCATCTCAGATTTCACATGGCCACAACTGAGCTCCTGATCTTCCTTCCAAACCTTTTTCTCCTGCAATCTTGTTTATCTCAGTTAATGGCAACTCCATTCTTCTGGATAGGATTTTGGGTAACCTGCAGCTGAGTACGATGGGTGGAAGGAAGAATAGGAGAAATGGGACTGAACAGTTTCAGGAATAACAGACAGAAAAGTAGAGTCCCAACTGTATCTAAGACTTGGGACTTACTGCTACTTACTGCTAATAGAAACTGAAATACTACCTGAGTACCATCACTTTTTCCTTCCCTGTATGCAGCAAGTAAGAGAGAGAGGAAAAATAAGTGAGAAAAATAAGTAATGAAAAATCTCAGGGAAAAGAGGCATGAAAATGGCCAGTATCTTGAGGACATCCTGAACTTAAATGCTGCCAGATAAATGACACTAAAATAAGCAAAGACTAGAGAAATAGGTTGTCCAGTCATCATCAAACTGCTCCCAGCCCTGGGTACACAGGGAGAACAAACACAATAGATATCATTACCTATGGGCATATGGTTGACGCTTTATCCAGGGAATGGGAAAGGGAGCAAGGGAAATCACACTGTATGAGGAATGTTGTACATGTGAACAGTGTGGATGATAAAAGATTGAGCACTAACTACACTAGCCTTGAACTCTTCTCTACACTTAAGAAGCCATTTACTTGTCCAGTCTCTTACCTAAAACTCCTGAGGCCTGATGTGTTTTGAAGTCAGAATTTTATTTTACTTTATTTTTTAAATATATTTTTATTGATTTTTAGAGAGAGATGAAGGGAGAGGGAGGGAGAGATAAAAACATCAATGAGCCCTGGCCGGTTTGGCTCAGTAGTTAGAGCATCGGCCTGTGGTCCAGAGAGGCCCGGGTTCGATTCCCGCTAAGGGCATGTACTTCGTTTGCAGTTTGTCCCCGGTCCTGGTTGGGTCCTGCGGGTGGCAGCCACTCGATGTGTCCCTTTCACGTCGATGTTTCTCTCTCTCTCTCTTCTTCTCTCTCCCTCCCACTCAGTCTGAATAAAGAATGGAAAAATGTCCTCATGAGGATAAAAAAAACCAAAAACACATCAATGAGACATATTGATCAGTTGCCTCTTGCACGCTCCGTACTGGGGATCGAGCCTGGGCATGTGCCCTGACTGGGAATTGAACTGGTGATCTCTTGATCCATTACCACTGAGCTACACCAGCTGGGTTGAAGTCAGAATTTTATAATTTTAGAAAGGTAATAGGTGCAGGATGTTTTCAGAGCGTTTGGACTTCAAAATTGCAAAGAAGTGATTGAGGATCTGTACTAACTTCAACTTGGAAGAACTTGAGCAAGACCTTGCTATTGTCAATTTTAAATAAGAAACAAATACACGCAGATCCCTCGAATTTTACCTCTTGAGCTTTTGCCAAAGAATAACACCTTTAAAGCTACCAGGTAAATCCAAAGAGGTAAAAGTTGATTCTTACCAGAAACGTAGAATCCATTTCTGCTGTCATCAGTACTATGCCCTTTTCTTCCTTAAGTTCAGGGTAGTGATATAAAATCAGCTGGCTGGCTGCAGCTTCCCCTCGGGTCTGTGAGGAGGAACACTTATCAAGGCTCAATAAGGTACCACCACAACAAAACTGCAATTTCAAAGCAATAGAGAGTCGGGAGGAAATTCTGGCTCTTACAGCCCCTTGGGTGTCTAGTGAGTCGGAGGACTGGTATGTGGGGGGTGGGCAGGCCTGCCAAGGTGCAGTGCAAGTGACAGTTTGCACAGTGTTATTTGTGTCTTCAATTGAAAAAGGTTTGGCTCTTTTCCCAGAAAATGTTTACAGTAGGCAGTGAATCCTTCATCATGGCCATATATTTAAAAACAAAACGGCACAAGCAGCTACCAAATCAAGTTCTAAAGAAAGCAATATGCCTGTGTAATTGCCACTTTTATGGACTAGTGCATTTCACAGCTGAAATCTACTCCCCTTGGCTGGCTCTGAAGACTGAGCTCTTTTAAGCTGTAGCAAACAGCTGGAGAGTTTGCACATGGGCCAGATTTGTAATGTGCAGTTTTAAAATACAATCTGGGTGGGAGGTAGGGGGAAAAGAAGAATGAGAACATAATTTCATGAAGAATGGACAGGGCAGTGGTTAGCAGACTTCAATCCGGACTAGGAAGAGAGGCTGGGTTCAAAGCTAAAGACCTCATGTAGTGTTGGAGGACTACACATTCAAAAAAAAGATCTCTGGGTTTCATCTCTAAACTTTCAGCAAGAGTCCTTTTAATTATCAATATCTAAGTATTGCTAGGGTACTTTTAATAGTTCAGCCTTTCAGTTCTCCTGAACATACTTCTATATTGATCATTTTTATCATAATTCTGTTCAAGGATCTTTTTCTTAAATGAGCCTCATGAAGGCAGGGACTTTGGCTCATAGTTATCTAGGTCCTAGAATAGTTTTCAACACAATAGGCTAATGGTTAAGTTCATAGACTTTGGAGTCAATAACATGGAGTCAATCTAATCCAGCTCTACCACTTAGCGGTGTGAACTAACTTCTCCAAGCCTACTTTTTCTCTATAAATAGAAATAATAATAGTGACTATCTCATGGGATATTTGTGAGGACTAAATGACAATATATAGACAAATCTGGTACATAGTAAGTATATAAAATGTTGGTTATCATAGTTTGTGCCCAATAAATGATTTTTAGAAGAATTATAAAATAACAAAGTGAAAGCTGCCCTCTCATTCTATTTTGTACTCCCTTTACCCCAACTTCAAAATCCTTATAATACATGGCTTTTTTGGTGTGTGTGTGCCAGATTTGGCCTCCAAATATAGAATATCAAACCTAGTTATGACCTGATATAAAATACTGACTTTTATTTTAAAAGCTTCAAATGCTTTGAATCAAACTTAATCTAATATTTGGGAATAAAACAAAGGAAAAGGAAAGAGGAAAGCAAACAAAAAAACATCTATGAAATGGAAACTATGTGGCTAGCACCTTGGAAAGTGCTGACTTGATTAATAAAATGCATGTAAGACATGAATCCTATCTTAAGGTTAAAAAGACAACCACTATAACTCACCCATGTTTGTTAAGTGAGGCACATGTAGTAAATGTTTCAGAGATCTGGGGAAGAGACCGGAGAGAGTCCAAGTAGTCATGTCGCAGGGTTTTTTTTGTTTTTTTTTTTTCAATTTCTAGGTATTGAATAGGGCCTAGAAAGCTAGCCCATCATACCAAGTATGACAATTCATCAATGCCAAAGCAAATACTCCTGAGGGTGAGTAGATATTGTGTCCTCAAGCCTCAGCAAGGGCTCATGGTCCCACAAAGGGGTAGGCCTCTTTCCTCTAGCATAAGCCACCTACCTGAATATTTATAAGTGCAGTGAAGTGGAGTTCAGTGCCTGACCATTGTCCTACAAAGAACTCATAGCCTTCTCTTCTTGGTAGTGCACACAGAAACTGTGGGAAACAAATATACAAGGAGGTAGATGAATTAATAAAATAATTCCCTCTATGTTCAACCACTTGTATCATTCACTCCATTTCTTCAATGTTGGATTTAAAACATTTTTTAAAATGAAATTCATACAAAAATAATGTAACAAACATACATCCTCTTGCCAACCCACCTAAGAAAGAGAGCATTAGACATCCAACTGAAACTCTCTCTGTGTAACCCATTCCAATCCTGCATTTCAGGTTTATACACTTTATACACTTTTATTTTTTTTTAATCCTCACCCAAGGATATGTATATTTTTCTATTTATCTTCAGATAAAGTGGGAGGGAGGGAGAGAGAAACATCGACTTGAAAGGATATATCGACTGGTTGACTGGTTGCCTCCCACATGACCCCAACCAGGGCCAGGGACAAACCACAACCAAGGTACGTGCTCTTGACTGGAATCGAACCCGTGACTCACTGGTCCACCGGCTGACACTCTAACCACTGAGCCAAACCAGCCAGGGCAGGCTTATATACTTTTAATGTGTATGTACATATCCATAAACAAGTAACAATACTGTTTGCATGTTTTGAAATATAAATCTTATCAAACTATATGCATACTTTTGCAACTTGCTTTTTTCACTTTACATTATACTTCTGAGATTTATCCATGTTGATAACTATAACTCTAATTTATTCATTTTCACTGTTTTGTGAAACTCTATAGAAATTTAACACAATTTATCTATTCTTCCATTGATAAACATTTGGGTCTTTTTCAATTTCTAAACTTCCTAATTCTGCTGAATTACCTTTTTGTTCCATTTACTGTAATACTTCATACTTTACCATTTGAGGCTGATACTGTAGCTCTGAACACCAAGAAATAATTAGTTTTATACTTGAAATGTTTAGAATTGGGGATGAGTGGTAGAGGAGAGAATGATAGCAAAACAAAGTATAATCAATCCAACATGCATCAATCATGAATTGTCTCCTTATTGCCAACCACTCAGGCTGTTTTATTATTAGATGAGATAACCTCAGTGCCTAATAGGTGGCCCCTTAAGAAAAAAATTTTGGAGCTTTATTGAGGTATATTTAAAGTATAATAAGTTATACATATTGAAAGTACACAATTAGATGAGTTTCAATATATGTATACTATGAAATCATTACCACAATCAACATAATGAACACCTTCTCCAAAAAGTCTTTTGTAATTCATACCTTCTCCCCAACTGTCCCTAAGCAACCAGTGATTTGGTTTCTGTCACTACCAATCAGTCTGCGTTTTATAGAATTTTGTATAAATGGAACTGCAGAACCTATAATTATTTTTGGTTTGGCTTCTTTCATTCAGCATAATTATTTTGTGATCTATCCATGTTGTTACATATATCAATAGTTCATTCCTTCTAATTCCTGAATATCATTTGATTGTATACATGTACACACATACCACAATTCTTTTATTCATTCACCTGTGATAGACTTGGATATTTTTCAGTATTTTGTTATAAGCTACTATGAACATTCGTGTACAAGTCATTGTACGTACTTGTGCTTTCAGTTCTCTTGGGGAAATATCTAGAAGTAGAATGGCTGGGTAGTATGGCAGGTATATGCTTAACTTTTAAAGAAATGGCCTCACTGTTTTCAAAGTGGTTGTACCATTTTACATTCTTATCAGTAATACATGAGAGTTCTAGTTGCTCCATATCCTCAGCAACACTTGGTATGGTCAGTCTTTTTAATTTTAGTCATACTAGTGGTATCTTACTGTGGTTTTAATTTGTAGCCCCATTATGACTAATGTCAAGCACCTTTTTAGGTGTTTACCAGCTACTCCAATGAAGTGACCTTTTTTTTGTTCCTAAGTTTTTTTTTCTTTATTGATTTCAGAGAGGGAGGGAGAGGGAGAGAGAGATGGAAAAACTGACGAGAGAACATCGACTGGCTGCCTCCTACATGCCCCGCACTGGAGATCAGACCCATAACCTGGGCATCTGCCCTGACCAGGAATCAAACTGGCGACCTCCCGGTACCTGGGCTGACGCTCAACCACTGAGCCATACTGGCCAGGCTGACAACTTGTCAATTGGATTGCCTGTCCTCTTATTATTAAGTTATAAGAGTTTTTAATATATATAAATATATATATTTTTTTAAATATGTTTTTATTGATTTTCTTAGAGAGAGGAAGGGAGAGATAGAAACATCGATGTGTGAAACATGGATCGGCTGTCTCCTGCACGCCTCCTAATGGGAATGGAGCCAGCAACCTAGGCATGTGCCCTGACCAGGAATTGAACCAGGACCTCTCAGTCCATGGGACAATGCTCAATCCACTGAGCCACACCAGCCAGGCAAGTTTTTAATATATTTTAGATATAAGTCATTTGTTAATATATGTCTTGCAAATATTTTCTCCCAGTCTGTGGCTAATCTTTTCATTTTCGTAACAATGTCTTTTGAGAAGTAGAAAATTTTAATTATTTTATTGTGGTAAAATATACATTACATATAAGTTACCATTTTAACTATTTTTAAGTGTACTATTCAGTGGCATTAAGTACATTCACAATGTTGTGCAACCATTACCACCATTCATCTCCAAAACTTTCTTCATCTTCCCAAGCTGAAACTCCATATTCATTAAAGAGTAATTCTCTATCCCCTTTCCCCCCAGGCCCTGGCAACCACCATTCTACTTTCTGTCTATAAATCTGACTACACTAAGTACCTCATACATATGTGGAATCATACAGTATTTGTCATTTTGTGACTGGCTTATTTTATTTAGCATAATGTCTTCAAGGTTCATCCATGTTGTAGCATGTGTCAGAATTTCCCTTTTTTTTTTTTATCCTCACCCGAGGACATTTTTCCATTTTTTGTACAGATAGAGTGGGAGGGAGAGAGAGGAAGGGAGAGAGAGAGAGAAACATCGACGTGAAGGGACACATCGAGTGGCTGCCACCCACATGACCAACCAGGGCCGGGGACAAACTGCAACCGAAGTACGTGCCCTTAGCGGGAACTGAACCCGGTTCTCTCCGGACCGCAGGCCGACGCTCTAACCGCTGAGCCAAACCGGCCAGGGCAGAATTTCCTTTTATAAGCTATTTATATACATACATGTGCACACATACATACACATACACACTACATTTTATATATTCATTCACCCATCACTGGACACTTGGGTTGCTTCCACCTTTTGGCTATTGCCACTAATGCTGCTATGAACATGGGTATAAAACAGAAATTTTTAATTCTGATAAAATGTAATTTATTTATATTTTTTCTTTCTTTTTTTTTTAATTGTTGTTTTTTTTATCCTCACCCAAGGACATTTTTGCATTTATCTTCAGACAGAGCAGGAGGGAGAACGGGAGGAAGAGAGAGAGAAGGAAACATCGATGTGAGAGAGACACATCGACTGGATGCCACCCACAAACCCCAACCAGGGCCAGGGACAAACTGCAACCGAGGTACGTGCCCTTAGCAGGAACCAAACCCGGGTTCCTCTGGTCCGTGGGCTGACGCTCTAACCGCTGAGCCAAACTGGCCAGGGCTAATATTTTTTCTTTTAATAGTTTGCTTTTTGTAATGTACTTAAAAAAATCTTTGCTAAATCCAAGATCACTAAGATTCTATGATCTATTCTGAGTTGTTAGACATGGTGTAAGATAAGAGCAAGATTATCCTTTTGCCCATTTAATCACCTTGGCCCCTTTGCTGAAAAACAACTGACTGCACATATGTTGGTCTATTTCTGGATTCTCTACTCTGTTCCATTGAACTATATGTCTATTTTTATGCCAATACCATATGGCCTTCATTACTATAGCTTATAATCTTAAAATGAGATAATGTAAGTCCTCTAATGTTGTTCTTTTTCAAAATTGTTTTGTTATTCTAAGTTCTTTGGATATCTAAATAAGTTTTTAAAATCAGCTTGACAACTTCTTAAAAAAAAAACAAACCTATTGGGATTTTTATTGGGATTATAGTCTAGAAACCAATTTAAGGAGAAATGACAACAATATGGAGCCACACAGTCCATGAACATGGTATATCTCTCCATTTAGGTAGAGGTTTTTTATTTTCTCTTGACAATGTTTGGAAAATTTTTTTGAGAATCCTAAAAATTATTACCAAGTCACCTGGCCCACCTCATCTATTCCCTTCCCTTAGGTCTTCTGGTAGTTCATTACTACAGCAACAATCTCATAACTTCTTTTAGGTACATATAATCAGGATAAGATGGCCAAAACTGAAAAGAAAACTGCTAATAAAACTGACACTTAAAGGAAGTTGAAAATATTATGGCTAAGGTGCTGCATCCAACATTTACTTATACTGTTGAGTGAGATCCACATCATAAATGGCTGAGATGTATCTAAAAAGCCAGAGACTTACTGGGCCAAATGCACAAGATTTCATAAAGCTAAACATTTCACTTAGTACAATCAATACATAAGCATCTTTGTTAAATAAACAGAACTATAGTGTGAGACAGCATGGAGCACGAAGAGATAGGTTAGAAAACATTCTTGTTTGGCAGCATTGATAAGCAGTCCAGAAACTTACTGTTGGACAGGACTGAGCCCGGTTCCAGATCAAATCAAACTTCTTTTCCTGTAGGTTAAAAAAGGAATAATATTCACAAACTAAAAACCATAAAAGCCTGCAATCACACTTAAATTTCACCAAGACTGAACTCTAGAACTGAAACACGACTAAAACAATCTAAGTTTCATCATTTACAAATGCCTCTTATGACAGAGAAACACCAGATGTATTCTTTGCTGTTCAGTGTCAGAATCTACTGTGAACAGTGCATACTCCAAATGCTCCAAACTCTCCAGGGGACTCTGCCAAGTGTCTGAGACATCACTAAGGTCACTAAGTCTGTTGCAGAGGCGGCTAAACAAGCCTGTTTTAAAAAATGAGCCAGGTCCAGGAGGTGCGGCTCAGTGGTTGAGCATTGACCCCATGCACCAAGAGGTTGCTGGTCCGATTCCTGGTCAGGGCACATGCCCAGGTTGTGGGCCCAATCCCTGGTGTGGGCATGCAGGAGGCAGCCAATCAATGTTCTCTCTCATCAATGTTTCTATCTCTCTCTCCCTCTCACTTCCTCTCTCTCTAAAATCAATAAAAGAAAAAAAAATTTTTTAAAAAGAGCCAGTATTAGAGATCTAAAAGATCATATAAGTGCAGATCCCTTGGCTGTTGAACTTATAAAGGGTAACTTATAAAGGGTATATAAGAGGCAGAAAAAAAAAACAGAAATACTCTCACAACCAAAAGGCCTGGCTTTATTTTTGTCTATATGTTTTTCTCTTTAATCTTACAATTACACATGTAAGCTTGGTATATATTTATGTGCTTGATATAAACTTACCCTAGGCTACTTCTCTTTCAGGGAAGAACAATAAAGAACCAGCTGATAACCCAGTACATCAAATGCTGATCTCAATGGTCAAGCAGTGGCTGGTGACTATATCCATGACAGCAATTTCAAGGAGGAAAAACGAACAAACAAAAAACAAGACCCCACAAGAAAAGGCCACTTTATAAGGGGAAATACCAGAAAAAGATTAGGAGGAGGCTCCAAGTCAGCTTATGTATAGGTCACTTATAGACAAGAAGGGAAGAAACCTATGCTAGAGGCCCTGTGTTGAATTCCAATACCTTAGAAAACACCAAAAAGAAATAAAAGACTTGGAAATTGCTCAGCAACATGAACTTACACCATGCTCCCTTGTCAGAGACTTGACTCAAAGAGACATTTCTAAACCAGAAAGAGGGAAAACAAGAGCCATAAATATACCATATGCAGCTTCCAATCTTTGGTACTCAGGGCATAATAAAAACCCTCAGAGCTATAAATGTAAGTTCTCAAGAGGCAATAAACATAGGAAAAGTAAAGGCAACTGCCTGCTAAGGTTAGAGACCTGACCTTCATGCTATAACACACTCATTTTCCCCTCCAAACTACTTACAGGAATAACTGCGTACACTGTATCTTTTGCTGCAAAATACTGCTGCCAAATCTGTACAAAAAAGAGAGTACGTCTGTGACATGTAGGCAATCTTTTCAATCTGCACCAAGAAATGATGACAGCCTTCATTACTCACAGTAACATGCGATTTGATAACAGAGAGGAAAACACAACGAAATGCTTTTATTACTAGTACATGATTACAAAAAGATTTAATACCATCTACTCTTCTAGATGATTAAACTGTAACTCTTAATAACAAATTCCTGTCAGAGAAATGGATTCTATGACCCTGTTAGTCATTCCTCTCAAGACGTGCCTTGTGTGTAATAGACAAGATCTTTTTTTCATATCTTCTTTCTTCCTTCCCCAAACCTAAATTCCCTAGCCAACTGTGGGCCTTCTCAGAGAGCAGGACATCAGTCACTCAGAACCCAGGGTCTGGAGTCAGGCAGACCTGAATACAAATCCCACTCCAATCATTTGCTATCTATGCAACTTTGGGCAAATTACTGAAAAATAAGTAAATAATATCTATATAAACATCAATAAAGTAGCAACCTCACAGGAATGTTGTGAAGATGAGTTAAAATAATGTAGGCTTGTGCTTAGCACAAGAGAATTACAATGCAAACCAGAGCCAAGGTGCTCTAAGGCCAGCAAAGAGGCTCTTAACCCAAGTTAGGGATTGAGTATCAGAGGAGGGGACACTTGAGGTGTATCTTGAAAAATGACCAGGAATTAGTCGGGTAAACAGGGAGTCTATGAAGACAAACAGGTAGGGTACAAGATAAAAGACATATTCTAAGCAGAGAATAACAATATTAGCAAAGGCACAGAAGCAGGGGAAGATATCATAGTCAAGCTGGTGTGGAAGAATGGGTCACCCTTCTTTAAAGCTGCTCTGCTTTGTTAACATTCCCATTAAAATGGGGAGCCCAACTGAAGACACTAATCAAAGTGTGATCTAGCCAACACAGAGCACAGATGGACTGTTATTTCCCAGGACTTGGGCAAATCACTCTACCAATGCAGCCTAAGGTTGTTTTGCTTTTATTTTTCATGTCAGAACCATGTCTTCTCATTTTAAGAATAGCATATCATGCTTATTTTTACTTATATTAGTAGATAGTTTATGAATCAACACTAAAATACATGAAATTGATAGATGTTCCCAACATAGTTGACCTTGGTTACTCAAAATAATTTTAATAAACACAAATTTGTATATAAAATTATAGGTCTAAATGATACTTGTCATATGATCAGGCCTCCTGGGCCTGGCTTCTCTCTCCCCTAAAGGACATGCTTGGTGTCCACTTTCCCTTGGTACTTCTTCCCAAAGGCAGTCTGAGGTCTCCATTAACAAAGGTTAAAACCCTATGCTGTCCTTAGTTTTGTGTCCGTCCTTCCACCAGGCTAAAGCTCCTTGAGAGTAGGGGATTCTCTCATTTATTTCTATGTCTGGCTCAGAGCCTGACATGTTATAGGCATTCAGTAAGTGCTTGCTGAAATGAGTGAAACAGCACCCAAAGGAAAACCATGGAAATTGGCACAACTTCCCATAAGGGAATATGATGTAGAATCAAACAGACATGGGTTTGAGTCCTAGCTCCACCACTTACTAAGTTACTTAATCTCCTTAAGTTACAGTTTCTTCAGTGATGAACTGGGAATAATAGCACCTACTTTACAAAGTGGTTATGAGACTTTAATGAAATAGTGTATATGAAGCACTAAGTACAGTATCTGACACAAAATATACTGCTTTTATTATTTTGATTCTCTCAATATACCTATAATACAATTCATGAAACTTTAAGGAATGCCAATGAATAGCATATAATCTAATTAGAGAAAAGAAACATAGACATGAACATTTAAATAGCAACGAAATGACCAAATAGGCAGGAGAGATCAAGAGTACTTTGAAGGAGATGTCCGGAAACTTCCTGCAGAAAATCCTATAATAATGGAGGACCTGAATGCCAAGCAAAGGAATATGGGAAGTCATTGAACATTTGTGAGCAGGTCACTCACATAATATTTTTATTCATTTATTTAGAAACACAAATATAAAATACCACATGATCTCACTTATTTGTGGAATATAATGAACATAACAGTCTGAGGAACAGGGTAGACCCAGAGACATGGAAGTAGGGTACAGACTGACAACCCTCAGAAGGGGGGTGGGGGGGAGATAAACCACAGAACTTATGTGTGTACACATAACCAATAGACATGGACAACAAAGCTGGGGATGGGGCGGGGAGGGATGGCAGGAGGGTGTTAATGGGGGAAAAAGGAGAAACATCTGTAACAAAATTAAATAAAAAAAATTTAAAAATAAAAACACAAATATAGCACTTACTCTGTGTCAGGAACTGTTTTAAGTGTTTTACAAATATTAACTTGTTTAAATCCCCAACTAACTCTATGAGGTAAGTACTATTATTATCTTCACTTCACACACAGGAAAACTAAGGTTCCAAGGGGTTAACTAACATATCAAGTCATTCAGCTAGTAAGTGGGCAGAGCTAGGACTTAAAATAGGCAGCTTGATTCTAGAGTCTGTGTTCTTAACCAATACATTATGCTTCTACATAATGAAAGCAGAACTTTAAAAGGATTCAACTGGTGAAGCTATGATAGGAGCAGTGGTAGAAATAAGAGCAAGGAAACCTCTTTAGAAAGGTAGTATAGTAATCCAAGTATAGAGTAGTGACAATTTTAAATAAGATGTGGACAATAGGAATGAAAACGAAAGGGGAGATGTGAGTTGATTATATAGGAGTGAGACAAGTTTTCTTATACCACTATTTTTCATGTATTCATCACTTTTGCTATCTATGGCCACTTTTCATTTTGGCTTGAAAGAGGTGTCAGGAAATGTATGCCCCTTTCTACTTTCAGATTTGGTTTACAGAGCATACATTTTCATAAAGTACATCAACCCATTTTCATTCATTACCTGCTTTATTTCTTCTGCAGTTTTGTCTTTCACCATCTCAATGTTAAAGATTGAACTGAGAGTCTGAAAGAGAAAATAAAAGGCAACTGACACGCACAATTCAAAAAATAAAACAGCCCTGGCCGGTTTGGCTCAGCGGTTAGAGTGTCGGCCTGCGGTCCTGAGAGACCCAGGTTCGGTTCCCGCTAAGGGCATGTACCTCAGTTGCAGTTTGTCCCCGGCCCTGGTCGGTTGTGCGGGTGGCAGCCACTCGATGTGTCCCTTTCACATCGATCTTTCTCTCTCTCTCTCTCTCTCTCTCTCTGTTCCTCTCTCTCCCTTCCACTCTACCTGAACAAAAAATGGAAAAATGTCCTCCGGTGAGGATAAAAACAACAACAACAACAAAAAAAAAAACAGCTTGCCCGGCCGGTGTGGCTCAGTGGACTGAACATCATCCCATAGACTGAGAGGTCCCAGTTTGATTCCCAGTCAGGGCACATGCCCAGGTTTCGGGCTCGATCCCCAGTGGGGGTCGTGCAGGAGGTAGCTGATTGATGTTTCTCCCTCACATTGATGTTTCTATTTCTCTCTCCTTTCCCTTCTCTAAAAAAAACAATAAAAACATATTAAAATAAAAATAAAACAGCTTAACTTTATCTAAGCCTAGTGCAGAGCAACATGTCAGGACAGTGCATCAGATCTCCAATAAGTAGGGAACAAGTATAAAAACGCCCATATGATCAGAGAAGTGATCCCCCAAAGCCCAGGCAGGTTTTTGCATTTCTATTTCTGAGGAGTATCTATAGGTACTTCCTAAATTCTTCACCCTCAAAATAAGCCCTGCAGCACTTTGTAACTGGTAAGAGGAGAAAATTTGGTTCTCTTCAGTTTAGCTGCTATTCAGCCAGGAGTGGCTCCTTATTTGCAAATTAAATGAGAATAAACATGTTTTTATTTGATTTTTTATTTTTTTTTATTTTTATTTTTTTTATAAATTTGTGTATTTTATTTTATTTTATTTATTTATTTTTTATCCTCACCCGAGGACACTTTTTCATTCTTTGTTCAGATAGAGCAGGAGGGAGAGAGAGAGAGAAACATCGATGTGAAAGGGACACATCGAGTGGCTGCCACCCGCACGACCAACCAGGGCCGGGGACAAACTGCAACCGAGGTACATGCCCTTAGCGGGAACCGAACCCGGGTCTCTCCGGACCGCAGGCCGACGCTCTAACCGCTGAGCCAAACCGGCCAGGGCTTTATTTGATTTTTAGAAACAAATTCCTATAGAAAAAAAGGGTATCACTATATTTCCTCTAGCATCCCCAAGACCCACACTATGTTAGGGGTCACATCAAGGACACAAAAATTCATAAAAATATTCCTCATTTCCAAGTTGGTAGATCACAAAATCACTGAACCACAGTAACTGTGTTCAAATTTGTAGTCTCTTGTTATAGATGTTTCATGTGGCTTCAAACTTGGACATTCGGTTAGAAACCTACCTTGTCCTGCCCTGGCTGGTTTGGCTCAGTGGTTAGAGGGTCGGTCTGCAGATCCAAGAGTCGCGGGTTGGATTCCAGCCAAGGGCAGGTACCTTGGTTGCAGTTCAATCCCGACCCTGGTTGTAGTAGTGCAGGAGGCTACCAGTCGATGTGTCTCTCTCACATTGATGTTTCTTTCTGTCTCTTTCTCCCTCCCTCCCTTTACTCTATTTAAAGATAAATGGAAAAAAATATCCTCAGGTGAGAATTAAAAAAAAAAAGAAACCTACCTTGTCTTTAGTGAATCCTCTGCTCATAGGCTGTTTCCCCAAAGTGTCTGCCTGAAATATATGATAGACAGGATATTAATCTATACTTTACTCAGAAGAAAAACACCAAGCTAATTGAAGTGCCCAATATCTTATTTAGTAATTTTGTACCTAAGAACTCACTTCTCTCCATTCCATATAGTAACTGTACATACTATTCTCAGAGTTGTTTGTGAGACAACTTTTCTTTGACTAAGCTTCTGAGATACAAAGATGAAAAAGGATTCCTTTGTTAATGACCAGCATCTACTAGTAATGAGAGTGCATTCTATGCCTGCCTCTATGGACATAAGAGACCCCTTCCCAGAATGAGAGCGGCTTGGGTTCTGTGCTCTACCCTCTGATCTGCTCCACAGGGAGCCACAGAGGAGGTGAGAAATGGAAAGAAGTATTTTCCAAGGCTGCTTATCTGTGATATCACTTCTAATGGCAGACATCCACAGCAGACCATAGAGATTTTTAAGTACTGGGTCTTAATATGTCTTCCATTAAATTAGACTTCCCCTCAAAAAAGGTCAAGAACAACTGAAGGTGATTATTTTCTCTCTTAATCCACTACCTCTGATAAAGGCCACAGTCAGGAAATCCTATTTTGAATCATTTCTGATAGTGGGCATGGACTGTTCTGAGTCTTCCACTCAATTTCTCAGTTCAAGACAATGCCTTTCAGAGGGAAGGAGTACACGCTACACCTATGATTCTGAAGCTGAAAAACACTTTCTGCATAAAACTCTGCCTTTTGTTACTCTGTGCTTTAATAAATCCAAACCTTTCATAATATTCCCATAGAACTCGTACTCACAAATTAGACAAAAGCCTCATGTAGGAAAACCTATTGGATATACCCCTATACACTGACAGCATCCTAATGAGTCTTTCCTTCATATGTAATCTATCCAAAAAAGAGAGAATTGATTCCATTTTCTTACCACTCACCTTTAGGTATATTGTGATAACAAAACAAACAAAACCCCCCATTTGCACAACTGCCTTCACCTTTTAATCACTAAGCCTGGTGTATTCTTTTTCCACAATGTCCCTCCAGGTCATTCCTCATTTCCATTTTCAGTTACAGAAATAAAAAATGTAAGCTTATTGCATTTTATCTAAATGGAAGACACCACTGATCTTAAGAAGCACCATTATTTTTATATCAGAAAATGCCAATTAAACAATAACAGAATACTTACATTTCATTATCAAATTTAAGACAAATTTGAAGTTAAAATGTGAACTTGAGAACCAGTGAAATAAGGTAATTAAAATTATAACTGAAACTATGTGCCCAAGTCTCAAGAGCACTTAATAAGAAATTTAAATCAGTACATTACTACTCCCTTGTGGATGCTTTTAAAATTTGTGGTCACAACTTTTTTATCACAATAATTGACTGGATGGTGACAACTGCATTTATGGGAGGGGCAGGGATGCTAAATGAGCTGCAATTTCACAGATGAGTTCTACATAATGAACTTTCCCTTATCCTGCACAACTTCTCAATGTCTAGCCAGACATCCTTGTAAGTGAAAAACCTTTTTATAATTACATGGGCCTGGAGTATAACTGTTTTGCTCACCCCCCTCTCCCTCCTTCCCTCCCTGTTGTTTCTCTATTTTTTAAAACATGGCTTTAATAAACACTGAAATTTTCAGAAATGCAACTATGTAACTTGAAAGAACACTGTATTGTGGAATCTCATGAGGGTCATTGCCTACAATACTGCTCATGATTTGGGGTTTTTATAATTACCAACACAACACCCTGGTACTAGTCAGCTTTTGCTGCTTATGTATTCATGGTGATTTCACACAGTCATGGTGAAAGCATCTGATGACTACATTAGGTCTCACAGAATAGTTGTGCCCAAGAACTCACATACTAAAATATGTATTTTATTTAAAGATATTTTCTTTTATATTACAGTTAGGGCGTTATATTGATCCCCACCCCCCCAAAATTATGTGTGCAGGTGGGTTATATTGCCTACATTTTATTTCAGGGTAGAAAAGGGAGAATTTACAAAAAATTATTGCAAAAGGGGATGTTGGGTCTCATGTGATAGGCAACAATGACTCAAAGTAAAAAAGAGGCTTTGGAAGTGGAGCCATTAGCCATTAATTAGCCTTTCTCTGTGTAGCTAGATAAGAAAGATAGGAAGTAAATATTTACCTTAAGCATTGCCATAATAGAAATGAAATCTTTACTTATTCTGTATCTTATCATAAAGATGAATTTCTAAGTCTGTCTACAAAAAAGGGCAGAGATTTCCCATATAATATTGAAAGTTTATAACACAGTAAAGAACTATTATTGGCACTATAAGTTTATTATAGGAAATTACATTTGTTAAAATATTTGTAATAGAGTTGTTTGTTCACATAAAGTTGTAAACTATGTTTGTCATAGGTGGTTGAATTTGCTCCCCAACCTTATAACTATCGACCCATTGACAATTGCACTAATTCTAACTAACCACTTCTTAAAAGACTGAGTGGATTCTCTTAAAACTTAGAATACCCAAAGCAAAAAAAAAAAAGTTATTCTCCAAGTAAAAGAAATATCTCTCACTTTAAAACACAATGTAGAATTCCAACGTCCCACTGTAACTACCTTATGTCAGATGCACACAGCCCACACCTAGACTACTGTACATTCTCCCTCGTTTTGGTCTCTGCCACTCCAACTAGTTCTGTGCATTACCCTAGATAAGTATTTTTCAAATCATAGGTTAAAATCAATTTAGTGGCCAAAGTTTTAAAAAGATAAAATCAATAATAAGAGTACACTGCAAAGTAACGAAAGCACTGTTTTGTAAAAATGTTGTTTCAGTTACAATCATATACTTATTTGTGTGCTGAATTATAATGTAAAATATATTTCTTACTGTGGGTCATGGTCAAAAAGTTTGAAAAGCAATGCATTAGTTTTTCCTATACATAGCTTTCCACGTGCTTCCCTCCAGCTTTGATGCTTATTTAGGAATAACAATAGCTATTAAGCACTTTTTTGCTCTCCGATCTCTAATAGCCCACTACCAGTGTGCTTTGCTTGGATCATTCAAGTGCACCCCTGGGAGCAGTGACTACCCTTTCTATGCCTCTATATCTCCACATGACCACAGTTAATTTGCCAAAAAGAGGATACCATTTATGGATGGAGATGAGCTGAGTAGAGAGAGGCTATGTTCCATTTATCCAGCTGACCCATTGATGAGCCCATTTCCAGGATATGGGCCAGGGCTGAGAGTGTAGAGTACTGGTGAGCCAACAACACAAAAAGGGACAGGTCTTGCCCTGGCTGGTTTGGCTCAGCGGTTAGAGCGTCGGCCTGCGGTCCGGAGAGACCCGGGTTCGGTTCCCGCTAAGGGCACTACCTCGGTTGCAGTTTGTCCCCGGCCCTGGTTGGTCGTGCGGGTGGCAGCCACTCGATGTGTCCCTTCACATCGATGTTTCTCTCTCTCTCTCTTCCTCTCTCTCCCTCTCGCTCTATCTGTACAAAATATGGAAAAATATCCTCAGGTGAGGATAAAAAAAAAAGGGACAGGTCTTACCTTCTGTTCCACACATTTGATAAAGTCACCTTGCCTGGAGTGCCCCACTGGCTGCTTCTGAAACTCACTGCGTTTCTCCAGTCGGGACTCAAAAGCAGCTGGGTCAGACCTGATCAAAGGTAAACCAAGTTAAACCACTAGGGCCATTTTGGATTTGGAAAGAACAAAGCATCATGTTCCATTTCTACAGAGAGGGGAACAGGTATTCAGAGGCTGAAGGATTTGCCTTCAGTTGGTTAGGCCTGAGTACAGGCCTACAAATCACAAAGTGAAAAAAGAAACCTAGTTATTCAACCACTGTTAATCCTCAAGAGGCCCATGTAAGCTTTTTCTCCTGCAGAATATTCCCTAGGTGATGGAGAGCTTGGTCCCTCAGGTACTTACTCTCTGGGTACTTGGAATTCAAATCCCCAAGATGGGAAGGGGACTTTGAAGTCATCTTGCTGGGTCACCTTCTCAGGCAGCAATTCAGTAGCATTCCTACTAGGTGTCAAGCTTTAACTTGAACACATTTAGTTCTTGGACATCTCCTCCCTAGGTTAAACATCTATTTATTCAGATGTAGGTGATTCAAAGGCTTCAGGCAGCCTATTTTGCAGGAGAAAATTTAGCACTTGAGTATTTCCCTGACCTTCTTCTCTCCAAAAATTATGCTCCTGTAGACAGAACATGAGAATTTTTCCTTTATGTCAAAATGGGGCTGGTCCTTCAGGCCTGAAGTCCTGGTTGGTACTGCTGTCCTTGTTAAGAATTCCTCAGGTTGTGTAGCCAAAGATGTGATATTTGGCTCCTTAGCCATGAAACCTATAATGTCACTGGTGATATCTACAAGATCCAAGCACAACTTGCTCACCTCTCTGATAGAATCCTGGCTGGTCAAGGCACTATGAGGGGGGACCCTCTTCCAATAAACTCCTTTCCAGACATGACATTAAACACCATTTCCTTCCCTGCCATGTGCACGAATGCATCTTCTTTCCCTTGGCAGTGGGCCAGCTCCAGGGTGTAGAGTGACTCCAGAGGTCCTGCTCAGTGGGGTGTGACAACTTCCCAGCCAGAACTACAAGTGCCAGAACCAGGGCTGACGCTGCCAGTGTCCACAGCCACACTTGGGCCTCCCATGATGAGTGGACAGACAGTGAAGGGTGGTTTAGGCAGTGCAGTCTGTGCAGACCTGCCTTGGATCTCTTTTATTATTAAAATGTACTGAGCCTGGCCTTGGCAGGTTTTGCTCAGTGGTTAAGAGCATTGGTCTATAGACCAAAGAGTCACAAGTTCGATTCCCAGTCAAAAGCATGTACCTCGGTTGCAGGTTCAATCCTCAGCCCTGGTTGGGGTTGTGCAGAAGTCAACCAATCAATGTTTCTCTCTCTCTCTCCCTCCTACTCTATCTAAAAATCAATGAAAATATCCTCGGGTAAGGATTAAAAATAAAATGTCCTGAGACTAATCTCTATCTTTCACCCTCAGGAATAAGAGATGTCTAATTCCTTTTATATGATTACTTGAAAATCACTATTATGCCACCCTTAAATTTCTCTTCTCTAGGTAAAAACTTGGGGGGGGGGGCAGGGGGCTTTTCATATGTGACTTGTGAATCTTTTCCTCACTGTGCACCTACTCTCTGGACATACTCGTTTGTCCACACTCTGGATGTACAGTTGTCCCTCGCCACTTCACGCTTCGACTTTCGCAGTTCTTTGAAATACTATACTACTATATTTGGGAAAAAAAACACGATAGAGTGAAGCTGCGAAAGTCCAAGCACCAAGTGGCAAGGGACGACTGTATATAAATAGAGAATCCTACTTCCTGGAAATTCACTTGTTGCGGTAGAGCCTGGAACTGATTAACCGCAATAAACAAGGGCTGACTGTAGTAGGCCGGAGCTAGGTCAAATCCTCTAAATTCACCAATGAAGAGTATGATGTAAAAACCTAGATCTGCGCTAGAATGGAGTCAGCAGGGCACACAGCCTTGTCCTGCTGTTGGCTCACATCACACCTGTAGCTGGTACTCTTAAGTGCCCAGGTTTTAGTGAGTATGCCCCAGCATTAACCAATCAGGACTGTAAATCCTTTGAAAATCTCTCATGATATCCTCCGATGTGTTTGGTCCTGGGTCCTAAGGCCAGGCCCTGTTTTGCCTCGTCCCTTAACTTGGCCCAGGACCTACTGACCTTTTTCAAGCCCTGCTTTCATATCTCCCTTTCATCTACCTCAACCTCATGCTCTTTTCCTTCTTGTATTCACACAGCTTTCCTTCCCATCTCCCTGATTTGTCTTACTCAGCTGCTTCTAGGACTTACCCATTCCTCTCTCCTTTTCATTCATTCAGCAAACTTTGTTGTTTCTTGCTTGTTGTTTACCTTGCTGGGCTCTGGGGATACAACAATAATTAGGACAGAGTCCCCATCTCAAGGAACTTACTAATCTAGTGTGAGGGACTGACGTAAATAAGTGAAATGCTATGAGTATATGATGAAAATTTGCAAAAATGTTCCCAAGTGGTTTGAGGTGTCTTCATGCTCCTGTACCTTTGCTCCCCAGTCCCATTCCTGTATTCCTTTGTGCTAGACCAAAGTGCTCAAAGGAAGTTTTGGTAATAAAGCTAGGGAGACAAAGCTCACAGCATAAGGGCCTTATGGGGAACACTAAGGAATATGGACATTATCCAGAAGTCAGTGGAAAGCTTACAGAGCAGTATGTGTAAATGTTGATGGGAATGATCTAGTGGGGAAGGAGAGTAAAACTAGTCATTCATTTATTCATGGGTAAAAATGAAGAGGAGTTGTGAAGTATTCAGAATATGAGTAGACAACTCTCCTGAGATGACTGTGAAAGGGACCCATGAGAAAAGGCTGAAGGTGAATATAGGTCAAGGAAAGGTTTTTAAGATGACAAATACGAGCCCTGGTCAGTTGGCTCAGCAGTTGGAGTGTTGCCTGCGGACCAGAGAGTCCCAGGTTTGGTTCCCGCTAGGGGCACGTACCAAAAAGAAAAAAAAAGATTGAAATTTGCCCTGGCCGGTTTGGCTCAGTGGTTAGAGCGTCGGCCTGCGGTCCAGAGAGACCTGGGTTCGATTCCCGCTAAGGGCACGTACCTCGGTTGCAGTTTGTCCCCGGCCCTGGTTGGTTGTGCGGGTGGCAGCCACTCGATATGTCCCTTTCACGTCGATGTTTCTCTCTCTCCCTCCCACTCTATCTGAACAACAACAACAAAAAGTCCTCAGGTGAGGATAAAAAAAAAAAAGATGACAAATACTTGAGTATATTTGAATGCTGTTGGAAGGAGAGCAAAAATATTCATTCATTTATTCCACCCTTCCTTCAAAAAGAGAAGAAAGGTCACTATAGTAGCAGCGAGATAGACTGGGATAGAAGGGCCCGGAATTGGAGTGGGGAAGGCTAGAGGATGACAGCAAGAGTCCAGGTGAAAATGATGGAGGAGTAAATTAAGGTCATGGAAGTAGAAATGAGACAGAACTCAAAGAAGTTACAGTACTTGGTCTTTGGTTTCCTTTCATAAGACAACTGCCTGCCCACCCTGTCAAATTTTCTCCTAAGTCCCTTTCATTTTCACCTTTGATCTCCTTCAGCTCTTTCCACTCGAACTCTTCGAACCTTTCCATGGCCCCCATACACCCACCTCAACTTCCTCTAAACTTCAAGTCCTTTCATCTGGAAGCTGAGGGGGTAGTGTTAGGAATCCTGGATTTCATGTTAGATGAATCCCAACCAGTCTTCTCGGTCAGATCTCTTACTCCCTGATCCTAGGTTTTCTCATGTTAATGAGAATTCAACTGATGATCCAATTGTGACACTACTAGTCTGGATGCCCTGCTCCCACCTCCAATCTCCTTTTGGACCCTAGCAAGAAGCTCGTGAACACCAGTTCTCGTGAACCTCAGCTGACTCAGTATGTGACCTTGAGCAAGTCAAGTCCCTTCTCTGGAAGGCTCCATTTTCCCAGTTCTGAAAGGGTAGATGCCTTGGAACTGCCTTGCTCATAAGGGCTGTTAAGTCTTTGAGAGAACTACAGCATAACGGCAGACAACGGGGGAAAAGCAGGGCTCTGCGGAGACTCCGCGCTGACACTAGCTGTGCGACATGATCTTCCCTCTCTGGGCCTAGATCCATCACCTGTGAGTGGCGGCAGTGACGGTGCCCACCTCGCAGGGCTGTTGTAAGCACTCAAAGCGTCAGACACACCAGAAACCGGCCGAGCGCCGCCCCTCCCCCCTGCCCTCCGCGGCCCTCGGGGGCCCGCACCTGCGCAGCTGCTGGATCTTGTCGCGGTAGCGGTCGTAGAAAGGGTTGGCCTCGAGCTCGGCCCCGACCCTGCTGCCGTCCGCGCCCCCCGCGGGCTGGCGAGAGGCGCAGCGCACCGGGAACACGCGCAGCTGCGCGGGTGACACGAGCCCCAGGCCCAGGGCGCGGCTGCGCACCGCGCACAGGCCCCGATAGAGGCCAGCCACCTGCAGGACCGCCGGACCCGCGCCACCCGCCGCCGCCACCACCGCGGCAGCCATAGCTGCCCCCACCTCCTCCTCCTCCTCCTCCTCCTCGTCCTCAGGCGCGATGGCCTCGGCCCGCAGCCCGCGCGCCCGCTCCATCGCGCTCCGGGTCCGCCGCGCCGGCGCTCCGGCCTCGAGGTTCCGCGCACCCAAGGTTCCGGGACCCGGGGCAGGGCGAAGGCGGGCGGGCCGGGGAGGAAGGGTCTCAGTGCTCCCGCCGAATCCGCGCGCTTTGCACTTCCTTATGCCACCGCCCGCCTCCTCCCTGGAGCCTGCCGGGATTCACGCCCGCCTCCTCCCTGGAGCCTGCCGGGATTCACGCCCGCCGGCTGTTACCAGCCGCCTCTGCTCTGCAGGTCTCCTTTTGAAAGCCGCTCGGATCAGCGGGTCCTCACCGAGCTTGCTCCCTTTTAAATTCTCTTGGCACTTGCTGTAGTAGTTGTCCTTCAGCATCGGAGGTCCTTACCTGTTTCACACCCTTTGAGGCAGGTTTACTCCTCTTTTTACAAATAAGGAAACAGGCTGAGAGTTATTAAGCGACTTGTCCAAGTTCTACTGAGTCCTGAACTTTTTTCAAGACATCAGAAACCTCCAAAGCCTTGTCTCCCCCTGACAAACTGAACAACTCTCCTCCTGACAAGTCTTTATTTAGGCCATTTTTGATCTCTGGAATGGTTTCTTCTTCCTCTGTTCACCTAATGCCACCCTCCTTTTCACCCCCCGCCCCACCTAACGTGGTGTGAGCTCCTGGGGTCAGGGACAGTGACATCAACACCTCTGTGTCTCTCCTGCTCCCAGCACAGGGCCAGGCCTGGAGTAGGCTGCCTCCGTGGAAGTCTGGGTCTTACCTGATAGAAATCCTTCCTGAATGATGGACCCCTGAGGGGCAGGATCAGAGCCTTCAACTCTGCTCAGTCCAACCTGTATTCATGGAGATTGGCTCTGGGCTGTGGACTGTGCTAGTAGTGTGGTAGACTCAGGTTAGTAAGTCCTTCAGTGCCAGCCTGTACATGCCTCGGGATCATTGTCCTGGCTGATCCCTCTACTTGGATTTGCATGTGGCTGCCTCATCATGTAGGGCTCAGTTCACAAGTCAGCACCTACCTCAAGGGGGCTTTTCCTGATGCAACCCCCTCATCCCTTATATTTTTCTCATTTCCTTATTTTTGTCTCTTCATAGCAATTATGACTGTCTGAAATTCTTAGGTACTTATTTCCTTGTTTACATTAATTCAGGGACCTTACATTCTACAGGGTGAGACACAATAAATATTTCATGTTAGGTGATGTTACATGCTATTTATTCATTAAAAATAAAGCAGACTAAGAGAATAAGAGATAAGGGATACTTGAGCAGAGACCTGACGGAAATGAGGGAATGATCTGTATGGATATCTAGGGGAAAAGCCTTCCATATAGAGGAAATGGCAAGTCCAAAGGCCCCGATGCAGGAGCATGCCTGCCCTGCTTGTGGAACACCAAGGAGGTTACTGTGTGAAGGAAGTACAGGGAAGGGTAGTTAGATTGCTCAGGGCTTTGTAGGCCTTGGTTAAGGACTTTGGTTTTAAATCTGAATGAAATGGAGAGTCATTGTAGGCTTTGAGCAGAGAAGTAACATGATCTCTTTTTTAAAGTATCATTTTGGCTGCTGGTGGAATATAGGGCATAAAGGGCAAGGATGGAAGCTCTCCTAAGGGTGACCATTTTGTCCTGGTTTCCTTGGGACTTCCCTGGTTTTAGCATTGAAAGTCCTATGTCGTGGAAACCTCCTCAGTCCCAGGCAAATTAGGATGACTGGTCACTCTTGGATGATTATGGAAACAAATAATGCAAGGGAGAGATGGTAGTGTTTAGAATAAGGTGATAATGACGGGAAAGTGGTTTTGAAAACAAAGTCTAAAGGTGTTGCTAGTGGAGTGAATTTGGGTGTGGGAGAATAAAAGGAGTCGATGACTTACGGGCTTTTGGCCTGAACAACTGGAAAGACAGAGTTGCCATTTATGGAGAAGAGGAAGGCTGGAGTAGGTTTTAGAGGGTGGATGATCAGGAGTTTTATTTTGGACATGTTAGTTTGAGATCACATAATAGACTGGCAAGTAGGGACATCAACTGGGCTTTGGGTGAATGAGTCTAAAGTTCTGAGTAGTAGTGTGGGCTGGAAATACAAAGTTGTCAGTTATTGCTGTATGTAGGTGTGTATATGATATGTAAAGCTATGAGTCTATGGGTGGGGGTGGGGGAGGTGAGGAGAGTATAGGAAGGATAAATGGTGATAGAGACTTGACTGGGGTTGGTGAATGCCCAATACAGTGTACAGATGATGTGTAGAATTGGGTACCTGAAACTTGTATAATTTTGTTAACCAGTGTCACCTTAATACATTAAATGAAAAGGAAAAAAAAAATAATGCTATGAGTCTGAATGAGATCACTGAGAATGAATGTAGATAGAGGGCTAAGGACTGAGCCCTAGGGAATGCTAACATTTACTGATCAGGGAAAAGAGAAACCAGCCAAAGACACCACAAAGCAGGAGCCAGTGAGGTAGGACAGCCCAGGGTTAAGTGGAATTTGGAGAGAAATCCATGCTAAATAGTGCCCAAGTCACATGCTGGGGGGGGGGGGGGGGGGCGCACAAAGAGGGAAGTAATTAAATGGTGCCAAGAAGCTGAGCTAGGCCCAGGGATAGTACAGGGAAACCGATTTGGGCTTAATTAGGAAAGGGCTTTCTAAACTGAGCAGCCCTGGAGGTGTAAGCAAGTAAGTCCCTGGCCCAAGCAAGTCCCAAGAGATGAGTTGCCGGGTAGGGAGATCTACCTGCAGGTCTCAAGCATCTGATGGGCTTTGTACTAGACAACCCTCAAAGTCCCTTCAAACTGGAGATGATGGAATTCTGGGAAGCCAACTGAAACAACTTTGTCACAGAATATGGGGATTGAGCTGAGCCTTGAAGGATAAGCAGGTGTTCAGTGGGGGAAAGAGATGGGGAGGGGCATTCATAGGTGGAGGCAATATGAATGAGCAAAAGCTCCAGAGATGTGAATGAGCAAGCTCTTTTAAGGGGTCTGGCTTCATCAGAAGGGAAAAGTATGTGAAGGATGGGGAGGAAGGTGAGACTGGAGAGGATGTAGGGCTAGAAAGTGGGGAGCTCCCACAGGACCCGGTGCCCAGTAAATGCCACTTGTTGAAGGAAGGTAACAAAACAAAAACGAGGTTGTAGGAGCCAAGAAAGGAGGCATTAATCACTTAGTTGCCTTGAGAAGGTTTTCTCCTGATAACGTGGTCACAGATATCTTGAGGGCAGGGCAAAGCTGTGTGTGCTCCCTGCCCCACTTCCCACTAGGAACAGGTATTCATCAACTATTCCTCAAAGTCCAGCAACATGGATAAGCCCCTGAGGGACTGGGGCCCTTTTCTGGGGCAGCTCTGGGGTTCACCATAAGAGGCAGACAATTCAGTGGCTGGGTTAGTCCCTGATAGAAGCAGTAGACATACACTATGGCACCATTAAACGGAGTCCCTATCATTAACTCAAGACTTCACAAGCACCGCCCCAGACTGCTCAATGTTCAGAACTCAGTGACCTCACCTTTAGGAAATAATGGGGTCTGGGCATTCCAAGGACTTCTGTTGACTGGACAGATGGGTAGGTGAGCTCCTTCTCTCCAGAGCCATTGGCAAGGTACCAAATCTCGACATGGATTCCCAACCGAAGGACCTGAGCCTACCTGGTGGTAAATGCCCCTCCAACTCCTAACCCTTGCTTAATGCTCTTAACTTGGGAAAACACTCAGGGAAGACCTTTTGCATTATGGGGTGATAGCTGCCTGAATGGATGAGTGCTAAGCAGTTAAGCTATGGTTTCCTTTAGAAAACTAAGGATTCCTTTTGAAGGCAGAGGGGTACTATGAACACCCTAGGAGCATCACAATTGAATGAGTGGAATGGGATGGGACCCTGGTGTCCCTGTCAACTGTTAAACTTTACTTCCTTGATGAGCTTTGCCTAAGCCTGGATAGGTCATGCCCCCTCTGATCTCTAGCTTTCCTTATCTATAAAGGGCTAGGGTGGCCTCTTAAGCTCCCTGGAAATCTAGCCTTGACTCAGGGAATGATGAAGTCAATGAGGAGGGAGTGAAGGCACAGAGTTAAGTGGATAGAATGACTGATGAATGTGTTAAGAAGAGTAATGAGAAACAGCTCAGGTCCCAAGCTAGAGCTATCAGCATGTCCCTTTTTCTTTCTTATTACCTTAGTGTGGGTCTCGTTGTACTTTGGATTCCTGGGGCTGTGTTCAGTGGTAACTGGTGGCTGCATTCTCTTTCTGCACTGGAGGAAGAATCTGCGGCGGGAAGCACGTGCCCAGGAGTGGGTGGAGGTGATGAGAGCTGCTACGTTCACCTACAGCCCACTTTTGTACTGGATCAACAAGCGAAGGCATTATGGCATGAACACAGCCATCAACATGGGCCCTCCCCCTACTGTCACCAAGACTGAGACTGAGGCCCAGAATTCAGATCCTCTGTGGGAGTTGGACAGCCCTGAGAATAGGAGCTATGCTGCTCAACACAGCAGTCCCAAGGTGGAGGCTCCTGTCCCCCTGCAACCTGCATTACAGCTGGTCCCACAGCCACCCCTGCCTTCCCCAAAGCCTCAGCCCCAGAACAGCTCCCCACTCCCGATTCCCATCTTTCAGGAGGTGCCCTTTGCCCTCTCCCTGTGTAACCTACCTCCAATGCTGAACCACTCGGTCTCCTACCCTTTGGCCACCTGTCCTGAAAGGAACGACCACTTCCAGTCTCTCCCCACACTGGCCAATGGGGACCATCACTTCAATGCCAAGCCTTTTGCTTCAGAATTATAGCCTCCCCTCACTGAGGGTGGAAGCTGGAGGTATTGGGGTAGAGCTAACCTTGGGGGTGGTATTGACAAAGGCTAAGGCTCATCTGGATGTCACATTATGAAAGATTAAAAAACGCCCCATGGTCTCTTATGTCTCATTTGTTGTTAGGAGGGCAAAGTCCTTCCCCTGTTTGATTGGGACAATTTGCAAACCAAACTGAAGGTCACCGAGTATCACCAACACAAATGGGAAAATAGAGGATTGGCTGTGGAAAGACACACCTAACCAGTATTTGTGATGGGCTTAAGTCCTCTACCTAGTATTTTTTTAAGACCAGAAATGTGTGCCAGACCCTGGGATAGGTACCCAAAGGCACTGCCATTCTGTGGGACATTAAGCACAGCTGCCACAAAAGTGATAGCTGAGGAGGGTGAATGAGTTAGTGATTCATAGTGGCCATGCCACAGGCAAAATAAGTTGCTGAGATCCATGAGCCATACTACACTGCTGGCTCAATCACGTTCTTTAACTTGTATGTATATTGAGCTATAGTTGTCTACATTATTTCTAATATAAGAGCACTGCCAATGACCCTCTGCTTAGAGATGAAGAGACAGTTCCCAAAGGCATTTGTTATGTTGCAGATCAGGGTCTCAAATTTACATCAGCCTGGTTTCAAAGTTCCTGATCTTCCGACCATACATCCTGATGTCCTTTCTCTAATGACATGTCTTATTACACAACACTTGGCAAATGATTTCTGTGTGTGTAGGGTGTAATTAGCTTGGCCCATGGATTGGTTTGGGAAAAGGGCTGGTCAGTAAGACCCCTAAAATTAGACAAAGAAATGTATCCAGTTTTATTTTTTTATCCTTACCTGAGGACATTTTTGCCTTCATCTTCAGATAGAGTAGGAGGGAGAGAGGGATGAAGAGAGAGAGAGAGAAACATTGATGTGAGAGAGACACATCGACTGGTTGCCACCCACACAACCCCTACCGGGGCTAGGAACAAATTATAAGCGAGGTACGTGCCCTTAGCGGGAACCAAACCTGGGTCTTTCTGGTCTGCGGGCTGACGCTCTAACTGCTGAGCCAAACCTGCCAGGGCTGTATCCACTTTAAAAAAAAAAAAAATGTTTCTGAAAGGGATTTATGGCCCTCTAAAAAGATCCACTATATCAGAATATTAATTTTTGTACCTTCTGGAAATAATCCTAAAGAGAAAGATGATACTGGCTATTTTTGGTCCCAGATTAAAGGTAAGAAAGCTCAGGTGTGCCCAGGATATAATTTTTTTCCTTTCACTTTGGAAATAAGGAAATCATCTTACCGTATTTGGTAGTAGACCAAATGAGCTAAGCTTTATGTAGTCTTCCTTCAGGGAAAAGGCTATCCAGATTGTGTGTTGTAATCCCAGAATCTAGCAACCATGTAGAGCTAATTTTTCTCTTATCTTTCTGTGCAAAAATGCTCCAGCTCACTCTCTTGCAATGGGTTTCAAGCCTTTTTTTGTTTTTTAAAGGCAGTGACACATTTCTTGTAAACATGCTCTTACACTGACTCTCTTATTACACATAAAACAGCTCTAAGCGGAGATTCTGTGGTTGATACAGAAATGGGCTCCCTCGTCCCTCTCCCTGCCCTCTCCTAACCTACAAATGCCAAAAAAGCAGGCTTCTTTCCTTCGAGCCAAATTCTGTATTTGTCAGGTACAGTCTTCAACTGAACATTATGCCCACAATCTGTCTTTGCTTTCAAGAGGAGGAAGGAGTCCATAAACATAGGGATCAACACGGGGGGGGGGGGGGGGGGGGGGAGGCATTAGCCATAGACAGTGGGAGAAAAAGGAAATGTTTTATTTAGATAAATTAAAATGGTTGTATTACTGATATGAAATAAGCAAAGTTCAAATCAAGTCATGGAAACCTTGAATTCACACCCAAACAGAACCCAAACTGCTTATACATTACCAAAATAGCTCCACTAAAGCAAAGTAGATTGACATTTCTTAATGTGAGAAAACAACAAGGTAGGTTAGGTTCATATAACAAACAATACACGCTCTATAAAGTCTCAGGAATACCCAAATGTGTTCTGGTTTGGATATGAAAGGGAACGCATCTAGCTGGTGTTGGTAAGCAAGCCAATGAGGTGTATAGCAAACGAAAGCTGTCACTAAAAACAACTCAACAGCAGGCCATTATGAGTATGAGCCCATCACAGTCAAAATCTTCAACTGTGACCGGCAAGACCAGCGGGGGCACTGAGAGTGTTCTGTCCAGCAACACAAAGTGAGGAAATGTCAATGGAAAGTAGCCAGTAGGTGAAGAGTGTTCATTCTTTAGCATTTCTGTTTGAGACACATTCCTAAGTGCCAGGCCCCTCTCTGCCCTTAAGACAACACCATAGTCATATCTAAGCTAGTCCTCTCTTCTTTTGTTTTTTTCCTACAAAACCTTTTTCCCCTTTAAGTAAACATGATACCAGACACTACAAGACAAAAGAAAAAAGGACCAAGAAGTAGTGCTTTGAGTAACTTAGAAAAGCAGCAGTAGGAGCTGCCAGAGTGAAAAATGTCAAAGTATTTGAAACCAAAACCAAAACCAAGCTCACTGCTGCTGTTGACTCTCCTCTCAGAGCTGAGATGTGGCAGGTGATGCTTGATTTACAGCTACATACAAGTCACAGGTTGGGTAAGTTAAGACAATTTACAAATAAAATCTCAAATTAACACTGAGTAATAGGCTTCTAAGGCTCTTAAGCCAAGGAATCTGCTCAACTTAAAACAAAGGAGTTCAAGGTGCCCTAGTTCTGCCTGGGAGATAGAGCACTTTCCCAGGCTGTGTGACAAGGGTATTTCACAAGTCTGAGAGTGTAGCAGGAACATCTCTGCCAAATTGGGTAAGGGGAGAGGATGATACTATATACCTGACTCAGGGATGATGTTAGCCAGACAAGTGAGGTAAGAACAGATGATAAACTAAAAAACAAAAATGACTCCTCCTTGGATAGCTATATGATACAAAAGAAAAGTACATACAACAAAGAGTTAAGGTGTCTTCAAAGTATCTGCCTATGAATAAGAATTTGAAACTAAAAAGGACAAGCTACATTACCCTCAAGTATATTTCATATAAATCAGTTCTCAAAAAAATACCTTCCAGGTACAGACATACTATTTATGGTACAGTATATACAAATATAGTAGTATAATTCAATTTATTGCTAGAATGTTATTTGGTTGTTACAAAATCCGTCAGGGTATATATATTAAAAAGGGGAGGGGGGCATGGGAGGCAGCCAGAAGAGTAATCTTCAAGTTACCTAAAGTGCCAGACAAATTTTATACTATATTTTAACCTTTCCAAGAAAATGAAATAGCTTTGATGGGCAAGGAAAATTTTTTTTCTTAGAAGCATAAGCCATATGAGGTAAGCAGACACATTCATGGGAAAAGACTTCATCTTGCTTTAACTAAATTTTAGTATTTCTAGGAAAAAAAAAATCAAGATTAGCTACATTAAGCTGAATATCATGTGAAGTAAAAACAAAATAAAACCAGCCCTTAAATAGTTAAGAATGTTTGGCTGCATCCATGGTTAACTGGGCAACTTGAACAAGATTAAAATGGAAAAAGTTGAAATGGAAATGAGCTCCACTAAAGAAGTCAATCCACAAAAGCTTCTCTAGTTTCTCCCTGACTTGGCCTACAGCACAGTTAAGTTTTGCAAAGTGTTTTCCTTTTGTGTTGTTCAAAGACTCCTTCTGAGAACAACATCGCAAACACAGGTCCTTTAGTACCAGGCTACAGAAGTATTTAAAGGGAAAAGTATTGCACTTGCTTGTATTAGGTTTGAAAACACTTGCTACCATCACATGAAGCCCAATGTTCAAGGCCTGCCTGCTATTGTTTGGCATCCTCTGGACATAAAGCCTCCAGCTACTCTTGACCTGATAATTATAAATAAATCTAATACGTATTTGGCCTTAGTTCCCAGAGGCACATATTAGGTTCTTGGTTAGCCCCCAGGTAAAATCTCAGTGAGTTTCCTGGGTCAGAATTAGAGGCACAGCTCTCCTCTAAAGCTCCTGGGCAACCTGGCTGAGACAGTGGCCAAGGGACTTTCAGCCCTGCCATTCAGAATGGAGACAGTATCAGAGGTGGAAGTCAGCCACAGCTTTAAGACAGATGAGAGAGAGAGAGAGAGAGAGAGAGAGAGAGAGAGAGAGAGAGAGAGAGAAAGAGAGAATGTGTGTGTGTAATTCTGCTCACTCAGGGAGGAAAATGTAGCTCCCCACTGAATAACCTGTTATGCTCATAAACCCTAAAATAGGATAGAAAATAATAAAAATGTTCAAGAAGACTTCTCTGGTTCACAGGTTGGGATTAATTACCGGGACAGAAACAAAGCGCCAGATCTTACTTTCCTGAGCCTAGAGGCTACACTGTCCCCAGTGTCCACTCCCTAAATATATTGCTCCAGCCCCCAGACTAAACCCTGTGGCAGCACCTGAAGGAGATGCCTGAAGGAGACATGGACCTAGTTTTAGCAGCTACCAGATCAAATTAGCGATTTTTAATAATAAGTCATTTGTTCACATCCTGTTTCAAACCATTCCTCTTATTTCCCACAAAATATGCAGAACTCTTTTTCATTTTAAATATTTACATACAGAAAAAAATCTATCTTTTAAAGGAAAGACATTTTCTGAGTCTGTATAAAGTGCAGCTAATTTAAGGCAAATTTATGTGAAATATAAAAGGTGGCTTATTCTCACTATATACACATTTTCCAGTTCTAAAAGATAAGGTCTCATTCCCTCAAAAAAGGGAAGGAGAAAAAAGAAGGGCTTCACTTTTATTCTGGCAATTTTAGAATTAAGATCTTCCTGGTTTCAGGAAATCATAGATTTCAGAATATCATAAGCAAAATGGTCTTTTTTAAAAAAATAACTTTTATATAGCTTTTTCAAACATGTTAAAAGGTGGCAATGTGTCTGCTACAATAGTTTGGAGGACTGGAAGACTGACAGGTAAACAGAAGGGTTGTTTTTGTTAGTTGAGTAGATACTAGGCAGCCCAGGCTATATCCATTTCTAAGAATGTCCAATGAGGCTAGACACCTACAGCTACTCTTAGCTCCAGGAATGAGTATTTTCCATCTCCATTAGCATCAAACTCTCTCAAACTCTCTGGTGCTGGCATCGCAGAACCTAAGGAGTTCCAAATTTCCTGGTAGGTCAGCTTCCCATCCATGTTCCGGCCAGTCTCATGGAATAAATCCTGAAGATCTGTTAAAAAAAAAAAGTAAGACTTCCGGTCAAGATGGCTGCGTAGGTAACCGTGGTATCGTGTCCTCCCACAACCACATCAAAGTTACAACTAAACTACAGAACAACCATCATTCAAAACCGCCTGAAATCATCCTGAATGGAAGTCCTACAACTACAAAATTAAAGCAGCAGCCACATCAAGACTGATGGGGCAGAGGGAGGGGTAGAGGGAGGGGCGGAGGCAAGACGGGCTGGTCCCACACTCACGTGTGGCAGATAAAAATCAGGAGGATACCTCGGCTGGGAAGGTCCTTCCTGAGGAATGAGGGATCCCTGTCCCACACCAGGTGCCCCGCTCAGGGTTCCAGTGGCAGGAAGAGAAGTCCCCATAACTTCTGGCTGGAAAAACCAGCAGGAACTGAGGCTCAGGGAAGCTGAAGCGGCTGGAGCCCCAGGCAGCTCCTTAAAGGGCCTGCGCACGAACTTACCGGACTCTCCCTGTCTCAGCTTGGAGGGGAGGCAGCTCGAGGGGCACCAGAGACATACAGGGAAGAACTGAGCTGTTTGGCACTGGAGCAACGGCTGGAGAGGGGGCTTTCTCCGGGACAAATGTGCTGTCAGAGGCCTTTGTTCCTTTGGTGAGCCCTTCCCTGGGGCGGCAGACAGCTGCCATATCTGGGACTCCAGCAACCTGGCTCACACTGGTAGCCCCGCCCTGGTGACTCCCTGAGGCCCCGCCCCACCCCACCCAACTTTCAGGCCCACCCAAGCTGTTGGCACTTGCTTAACCATAGGATTGGCCTGTCTTGGATCCTGCTTCAGGTTTTTCCTAAATTCTTTCAAACGAGCAGCATCTGGTCTCATCTAGCCCCACACCTCTCATTAAGTAATACACAGAAACAAACACCGGGAGGAAGCCAAAATGAGGAGACAAAGAAACAGGTCCCAAATGGAAGAACAGAACAAAACCCCAAGAAAAGAACTAAGCGAAATGGAGATAAGCAACCCAGCAGATGCTGAGTTCAAAATACTGCTTATAAAGATGCTCAATGAACTTAGTGAGAACCTCAGTGAACTTAGGGAGGGCCTCAAGAGCATAAAAAAGGACCAGTCAGAAATTATGGATGCAGTCAGAATTGAAGGAGGCATTAACTGAAATAAAGAATAATTTACACAGCTTCAATAGTAGAGTACGTAAATCCAAGAAGCAAACCATAGATTTGGAATATAAGGAAGTAAAAAACGCCCAATCAGAACAGCAAAAAGAAAAAAGAATCCAAAAAAATGAGGATAGTGTAAGGAGCCTCTGGGACAACTTCAAGCGTGCCAACATTCTCATCTTGGGGGTGCCAGAAGGAGAAGAGAGAGAACAAGAAATCGAAAACCTGTTTGAAACAATAATGGCAGAAAACTTTCCTAACTTGGTGAAGGAAACAGACATACAAGTCCAGGAAGCACAGAGAGTCCCAAACAAGATCAACCCTAAGAGGCCCACACCAAGACACATCATCATCAAAATGCAAAAGGTTCAAGACAAAGAGAGAATCTTAAAAGCAGCAAGAGAAAGGCAGCTAGTTACCTACAAGGGAGTTCCCATAAGGCTGTCAGCTGATTTCTCAAAAGAAACTTTGCAGGCCAGAAGGGAGTGGCAAGAAATATTTAGAGTGATGAAAAGCAAGAACCTGCAACCAAGATCACTCTATCCTGCAAAGCTGTCATTTAGAATCAATGGCCATATAAAGAGTTTCCCAGACAAGAAAAAGTTAAAGGAGTTTGTCACCACCAAACTGTTATTACATGAAATGACGAAGAGTCTTTTTGAAGAAAAAGATAAAATATATGAACAAACAAAATGGCAATGAATACATATCTATCAACAATGGAATCTACAAACAAAATGAACAAGTAAAACAGAAACATTCTCATAGATACAGAGAACATTTTGTTGGTTGCCAGATGGGAGGGGGGTTGGGGGAATGGGTGAAAAAGGTGAAGAGATTAAGAAGTACAAATTCATTGCTAGACTGACAAACCTCAAAGGGAAAGGGGTTGGGGGGGGGTGGGAAGAAATAAACCAAAGAACATATATGCATAACCAATGGACACAGACAATAGTGTGGGAAAAGGCGGGAGAGGGGCGGGAATGGGGAGGAGGGGTCAATGGGGGAAAAATGTGGAACATCTGTAATACATTTTACATTCAACAATAAAGATTAAAAAAAAAAAAAAGTAAAACAGTGTATATGTCTATACACATAGCTGAATGTAGTAACAGTTTAAAAAGTAGCCTCAATTGAATTTAAAGCAGTAAAAAAAAGTTACTTTGCAGACTCTGATTCCAAAAGGTAAAGTTTAGGATATTACTAAATCAGAAAAACTACTTATTTTTTTAAAATATGTTTTTATTGATTTTAAGAGAAAGAGTGGCAAGAGAGACACAGAAACATTGATTGGCTGCCTCCTGCAGGCTCCCTAATAGGGATCGAGCCCGAAACCGGGGCATGTGCCCTGACCAGGAATCGAACCAGGCTTCTCAGTCCATGGGATGATGCTCAATCCACTAAGCCACACCAGATGGGCCCTACCTTCACTTATGATAGCCCTAGCAAAGCAGCTAAATAAAAGTCTCAAAAGATCCTTGAAAGCCAGAAAAACAGATCGAATGCTTGTTTTCAATGTCTGCCACCAAGTGGCTGGCTGAAAAATGTTTTATTGTGTGTTATATGAAGTGTAAATTTATAAAATGTGTTATGCACTTGGTAGCAGTACTCAAATAAAAATCTGATTGTTGCTCCAGGTCATTTCAAAAGTGTAATCATTCAAAAAGTGTGTAAAACCTATGTTAGGGACTGAAGTACAAATGTTAAGATGGCTAGTTCTTAATCTGCTCTTAACAGACTTTCCTATTCATTCTCATAAATTCTATTTTTTTTTAAGAGAATAATTTATTGATTTGGAGAGAGAGAGGGAGAGAGAGAGAGGGAGAGAGAAACACCGATGTGAAAACACGACATTGATGGGCAACCTCCTGCATGTCTCCTAATAAGGATGGAGCCCGCAACCCGGGTGTGTGTGCTTGACTAGAAATTGAACTGGCAGCCTCCTGGTGCATGGGACAACACCCAACCAGCCACAGGGGCCAGGGCAATCGCATCAATTCTTGAAATAATAATGGAGAGTGGGAAGAGGCAACTTGTATTTCCAATAAACTCTGCTGTTTCCCCAGAAAACAGAAAGAAAAAAAATTTTAGGAGGAGGAAATAAAAGTAATTGCATTTAAATGGCAAAATAGCCCAGCTAGTGTGGCTCAGTGGCTGAGCTTCCACCCATGCACCAAGTGGTCGCCAGTCAAGGCACATGCCCAGTGAGGGCCACGTAGGAGGCAGCCAATCAATGTTTCTCTCTCATCGATGGTTCTCTCTCTCTCTCTCTCCCTCTCCCTTCCTCTATCTCTATAAAAATCAATAAAAAATATGTTAAAAAAAATAATAAATGGCAAAATAAATTAAGGTCTTCTATGCTTTAATTATAGCCTGTAGATAACTTATTCACTTAACAAATATTCACGTGTACCAGGCACTATGCTAGGGGCTGGGAGGGAATTTAAATTTTATGTCTCCAGGAAATAACAACAGAGTGACAAGTACTAAACAGGGGTAAACAGCCCTGGCCAGTTTGGCTCAGCAGTTGAGCGTTGGCCTGAGGACGAGAGTGTCCCGGGTTCGGTTCCTGCTAGGGGCACAAAAACAAAACAAAACAAAAAAACACACATTAGCCCTGGCTGGTTTGGCTCAGCGGTTAGAGCGTCAGCCTGCGGTCCACAGAGACCCGGGTTCGGTTCCCGCTAAGGGCACGTACCTCGGTTGCAGTTTGTCCCCAGCCCTGGTTGGGTCGTGCGGGTGGCAGTCACTCGATGTGTCCCTTTCACGTCGATGTTTCTCTCTCTCTCTCTCCCTCCCACTCTATCTGAACAAAATATCGAAAAATGTCCTCGGGTGAGGATTAAAAAAAAATAATAATAAAAAAAATAAAGCATTAAAAAAAACAAAAAAAACAAAAAAACAAAATATAAGAGGTCACACACAGCCCTGGCCAGTTTGGCTCAGCAGTTAGAGCATCAGCCTGCGGTCCAGAGAGACCCAGGTTCGGTTCCCGCTAAGGGCATGTACTTCGGTTGCAGTTTGTCCCCGGCCCTGGTTGGTCGTGCGGGGTGGCAGCCACTCGATGTGTCCCTTTCACGTCGATGTTTTTCTCTCTCTCCCTCCCACTCTACCTGAACAAAAAAGAGGTCACACACAGAAGGAACCTTATCCGCCCTGGCCGGTTTGGCTCAGCGGTTAGAGCATCGGCTTGCGGTCCGGAGAGACCCGGGTTCGGTTCCCGCTAAGGGCATGTACCTCGGTTGCAGTTTGTCCCTGGCCCTGGTTGGTCGTGCAGGTGGCAGCCACTCGATGTGTCTCTTTCACGTTGATGTTTCTCTCTCTCTCTCTCTCTTCCTCTCTCTCCCTCCAACTCTATCCTCCAACTCTATCTGTGCAAAAAATGGAAAAATGTCCTCGGGTGAGGATAAAACAAAACAAAACAAAAAAAAAAAAAAAAAAAAAAAAAAATGAACCTTATCCAGTCCTGGAAGGTAAGGAAATGTTCCCTGTTAGAATGGTATCTAAGCTAAAGCAAAGATGGGTTGACAAGAGTGGAGAGTCACTTTCAGGCTGTTCACAAATGTAAAATCAGGAGATACAACATCATTATGAGGGACAGAATACACACTTTTGAAGGCAAGACCAACATATTTTTCTGTGAATCCTATCCTTCCTATTAATGTTTATCTTGCTGATTTTCAGCCAAAGGACGCCCCTCATTTTTGGAGGGCCCTGGCAAATAGGGTCAACTTTTACGTTTTTTTTTTTTTTTATCTTCACCCAAGGATATTTGTTCGTTGATTTATTTTAGACAGAGTAGAAGGAAGGGAGGGAAAGTTGAGAGAGAGAAAGAGATAGAGAAAGAGAGAAACATCGATGTGAGAGAGACACATTGGTTGCCTCCCGCATGACCCCGACAGGGGCCGGGATGGAACCTGCAACCCAGGTACATGCCCTTGACTGGGAATTGAACCCGCAACTCTTAAGTCTGCAGACTGATGCTCTAACCGCTGAGCAAAACTAGCCAGAGAGGGTCAACTTCTTTATTTGGCTAATCGCACAGTATTGTTTTCTTGTTTGCCTTCTCCAATAGACTTTCATATCTGTGAGCAATATGAGACTATCTTACATTGTATTCTTATTGCTTAGCACTGGGGCTAATTAGGTACTCAATGAATGAATGAAAACTCTAAAAATCATTACAAGAGAGATAATATAGTGCATTAGTTAAGTGTGTAAACTTTGGTGTCAGACTGCCTTGGTATGAATTTTGCCTCAACTAATTATTTGCTGTATAGACTTAGGCAGTTTCCCTATCAGTAAAATGGGTATCATATATGAATATTTATGTTCCCAGGATTTTTAATCAGGATTATATAATACAATGTATATCAAAGTGCTCAATCAATGTTACATATAATTCCTTTTCTTGCAAGTTAAAAAAATTTAAAAGTTTTATCTCTGAAAATTTCCCTTATAACTCTAGGGTATAAAAATTTACCTTTGATGCTAGAAATTCCTGGTAGGGAGATAGGTCTTCGCTGGGCAGTTTTCTCAATGTGGTCTCCAAGAGACTGTGGAACTTCTGACAATGCTGATGGCTTTGATGTGAAACTCTGTACTTGCTCTGCAACAAACACGTATGGTTTTAACATTATTAAATCTGACACCAAATTAAGCCAGTATTGAAGATCACCTTTTAGGGCAACTGCATACATACGTAATTTAAGAGAAAATGCTGACAAAGGAAACCATCAACAAAACAAAAAGACAACCTACTGAATGAAAAAAGATATTTGCAAGTGATACATCTAATAAGGGGATAATATCCAAAATTTATTTAAAAAATTATACAACTCTATACCAAAAAAACTAACAATCCAATTAAAAAATGGCTGGAGGACCTGAATAGACATTTCTCCAAGGAGGACATTCGGATGGCCAAAAGACACATGAAAACATGCTCTATGTCACTAGTCATCAGAGAAACGCACATTCAAACCACAATGAGGTATCACCGCACACCTGTCGCAATGGCTATCATCAATAAATCAACAAACAATGGGTGTTGTTGGCAAAGATGTGGAGAAAAGGAAACCCTTGTGCACTGTTGGTGGGAATGCAGATTGATGCAGCCACTGTGAAAAACATTATAGAGGTTCCTTAAAAATTAAAAATGAACAGCAATTCCACTTCTGGGTATATATCCAAAGATATCCAAAACACTAATTCAAAAAGATATTTGCACTCCTATGTTCACTACAGCATTATTTACAATAGCCAAGATATGGAAGCAACCCAAGTGCCCATCAACAGACAACTGGATAAAAAAGTTGTGGTAGATATACACAATGGAATATTACTAGGCCATAAAAAAGAACGAAATCTTACCATTTGCAACAGAATAGATGGATCTAGAGCAGCAATTTTCAACAGATGTGCTGTGAGAATTTTTAAAACATGCAATCCCTAACTAGTCAGGGGCACTGATCTCTTTTCCCTTAAATTGTCAAATAAAAAAATGACAACAGCCAATACAACAATAGCCAAACAGTATGATTGCCCCACTTGAACCATAAATATATAGGTCATATAACAGAGTTGCATCTTATTGGACACATTGCATAATAAGGTTGTGTCTGATTGGTTAGTTCTTGGTACCAGATACAAATATAGGCACCTGATTTTTTGTTGTTGTTAATCCTCACCTGAGGATATTTTTCCATTGATTTTCAGATAGAATGGAAAGGTGGGAAGAGAGAGAGAGGGAGAGAAACATCAACCTGAGAGAGACACGTTGACTGGTTGCCTACTACACAACCCCAAACAAGGCCGGGGATCAAACCTGCAACCCAGGTATGTGCCCTTGACCAGGAATCGAACCCAAGATACTCTGGTCCACAGGACAACACACTAACCACTGAGCCAAACCAGCCATGGTTAGGCTCCTGATTTTTTTAAAAGTCACTTTGAGCCCACCTGGTGTAGCTCACCTGTTGAACATTGACCCATGCACCAAGATGTCATCGGTTCGATTCAGGGCACATGCCCAGGTTGTGGGCCCAATCCCCAGTGGGGGCATGCAAGAGGCAGTCAATCAATGTTCCTCTCTCTCTAAAATCAATTAAAACATTTTTTTAAAAAAGTCACTTTGGAGTGCCCTGGCTGGTTTGGCTCAGCGGTTAGTGTAGGCCTGCTGTCCAGAGAGACCCGGGTTCAGTTCCCACTAAGGGCATGTACCTTGTTTGCAGTTTGTCCCCAGCCCCAGTTGGTCATGTGGGTGGCAGCCACTCGATGTGTCCCTTTCACGTTGATATTTCTCTCTCTTCGTCTCTTTCCCTCCCACTCTATCTGAACAAAAAATGAAAAAATGTCCTTGGGTGAGAATAAAAAAAAAAAAAGTCACTTTGGAGCAAAAAGTGTAGGTAATTACAATTATTATTATTTATTTTGTAAATCAATCAAAATTATACCTATTTTTGAGTCAGATCAGCAAAAAATATGTTTTGGTGTGCTGCAGAATTTCAGTAATTAGTTTATGTATGCCATGAGATAAAAAAGGTTGAAAAATCACTGACCAAGAGGGTATTTTGCTAAGTGAAATAAGTCAGAGAAAAGACAAATATACGATTTCACTTATTTGTACAATCTAAAGAACAAGATAAATAAACAAGACAGAAACAGACTTGGATACAGAACACAACTGAGGTTTACCAGAGGGGAGGGGAGTTGGGGAGCTGGGTGAAAAAGGTGAAGGGATTAAGAAGTACAAATTGGTAGTTATAAAAACAGTCATGGGGATATAAAGTACAACATAGAGAATATAGTAACTAATACTGTAATAACTATGTATGGTGCCAGGTAGTACTTGAAATAGTGGGGAAATAACTTTATAAATTACATGGTTATCTAACCATTATGCTGTACATCTGACACTGATATAAAATAATACTGATTGTCCACTGTAACTGAAAAATAAAACAAAGAAAAAAATAGTTGAGAATTTAGTAGCAAAGTGACTACAAGGCATGGATTGAATATGTTTTGTGGATAAATGAAGATCAATCAGTATTAAATAACATTAAGGAGCCCTGGCCGGTTTGGGTCAGCGGTTACAGCGTCGGTCTGCAGTCCAGAGAGACCTGGGTTCGTTCGGTTCCCACTAAATAACATTAAGGTTTGAAGCTTGGGTCTCGTTGGAAGATCTTATAGTATCACAAAGCATTATACATGTTTAGATGTTAGGAGTTTAAGGTGCAAGTGAGAATAGCATTGGATATTTAATATCCTAGGGGCTGTACTATAAGCCTGATCCGGGGTATGTGCCACCAGACCAGCCAGTGCTAAAAGAGTGCTACCATACAATTGTGCAGCACAATGTTAAGCCAAGGACTCCCACCCAAAAGAGAATAAGAGAGATTGTATTGTTTCCCCCCAAAATAAAACATACTTGTGGGAGGTAGGGGTCAAAGTCAACATAGTCCAATGCCTTGGTTTCGTCCTCCTGGAGTTTAAACCAGTGGAGGCTGGTATATCTGCCAACATTGACTAGCTATGTCCCTCCCTAAAGTCAAGGGCCTTTCCAACCCAATGATCCCATCATTATTTGTTAATGGTTTTTCAGAAGGATTAATATTTATTTTTAAGTAAATTTTATGCACTTAAAAAAATGAAAAGACTTCCATAAACAGTTAGTTGGTTTAATACATGCTATGACAGTAATGTTTTTTGCCTATAATTGGATGCAGACAGCATGGAGAAGTCTATTTCCAGCTAAACATTACCCCTTCTTCCCTTAATAGACTGGAGTACAAATCATGTACCAAATGGGCTTTTTCTAAATGAAAGCAAAGTGTATCAGCTTCATCTCGGTGCGCTCAGGCATCATTCACTCAGTTCGATCAGTCCTGCTGGAACACCTTTCCACTCCATGTGGGAGGCAAGCTGCTCAAGCCTGCGTGAAATATTCAGAAGCCAGCCCTGAATATCTCACCTTCATGGGTGGTCTCTGGAGGCCTGTTGCTCTCAGGTTTGTTGGTGAGAGCACTGATCAGCTGTAGTTTCTCTCTCAGCTTGGATACCTGAGAATCTGAACTATCTTCTTCCTGCCCAAAACAAAGATCACAGAGGTTTAAGGTAGAAGTAAGACTTCATCTGATTCATTATTATATTCCCAGAGCCTATTTAGCATGTAGTGCTTGACCCCCAGTAGGTTTCCTATCAGTACAGGCAATGAAGGAATGAATCAACAAATACTAGAGATACCTTCAGCACTCAGTGTTGATGAGGGCCTAGCTGGATTTGAGCCTAGACCATTAAGGGAACATTATGCTACAGATGATCTGATTCACTGTGAACATTTGGCTGATGGGGGAAGGCATGCCTATGTCAGCAGTAAAGGAAATGTACCCTTGCTCAGGTGCTTCTGCGACACCTATTTTCTAAATGAGTAGGATATTGGTTTCTAGGAACAATTTCACACTAACTAAATAATTTCCCTGAATATCTTACTTCACCTTGTGACTAGACCACTTTAGGTAGAGTTTTATACTCTTATCACATTTTAAAAAAAGCAACCAAACCACAAATATTCCCCTGATCTTCCTTCTTCACCCCCCCACCCCCCCACCATGGTGGTGATTCAACTGGTGGCAGGAACTGTTAGGAACATGAGGAAGAAGCTGTAATAATTCTAATTCAGTCTTACTTATATCTTTTAAAAAAGCTTTTTACCTTATACCCTGCCTCATCTCCTGAACGATCTAGAGTGGCACATAAAAATACATTTAATTATAAAAGGAGAAAAATCTGATTTCTATGAGGTCAGTTTCTAACTGCTTAGGCTAGGGTAAAAGGTCCCGCTCCTATATTTAATCAGAGTATCAACTCATTACATGTTTCTTGTATTCAATATCTATTTACTTATTTCTTTCCTGCCTTTATTTCTATCCTAATAGTTACCTATTAGATCACTCTTGGATTATTTAGGGAGCTAATATATGAACATATGTAACTAAAACTAGGTCCTAAATGCTTGAAGAATTTATGTTAAGAGAAATTACATCTGGTTAGGATGCTTAGATGAGGCAGCACAAAGGGATGTGTACAGAGATGACAATTAAAAACCACAAAGGGGCCCAGCTAATGTGGCTCAGCGGTTGAGCGTCAACCCATGTACCAAGAGGTTGCCGGTTCGATTCCCAGTCAGGGCACATGCCCAAGTTGTAGGCCAAATCCCCAGTGGGAGGCATGTAGGAGGTAGCCAATCAATGTTCTCTCTCATCACTGTTTCTCTCTCTCTCTAAAAATCAATAAAGAAAAAATATTAAAAACAAAAACAAAAAAACTACAAAGGGTCTCAAAGTAAAGCCAATACATTTAGGCAAAAACGTGTACCAGCTGTATTTTGTTCTGATATTTACTGTGGAAAAACCTGAACTGATACTGAAATCACTACTTTCCAACAGTAACCACCTGTTACTTTTTTGTGTTCAATGTATATCTGGCTCTTGAATTTTTCTTGTTTCATTCTCCAGTTGATGTTTTTCTAAAAAAAAAAAATTCTTTGCAGCAGTTAGAAAATACAAAAAAAGCCTAGCCTATAAAGCATTAACATTTTAATATATGTAATTTTTATCTAAATGATATAAAATTTTTAAAGAAGAAAAAATATAGATGGAAAGCATTATCTTGAAAACTGCTTATACTATGGTTCATTTCGAAGTTCATTTTGTTTGAACCTCATATTTGAATTTGTCAAATTTGATATGCATCTGAGATGGTATTTTAGCCACTCAGTCACAATCTTCTGGATTTTTCCTTTAGCTTAGCCCAGGATTTACAGTATTGTAATACTCTAATCACAGAGAATCCTGCAAACAAACTTTCTTTCCTGGGATATTAGAGTATATCACGGATTGTTTATCTTGACAATATGTCTGGGACAAAAAACAAAAGGGAAAGGTACAGGTGAAGGGAACTGGCTGAGGCTTAAATGAACTATGTAAGTTCTGAGACTAATTTAAAAATAAAAAATAAGCCCTGGCAGGTTTGGCTCAGCAGTTGAAGCGTCGGCCTGTGGTCCGGGGAGACCCAGGTTCGGTTCCCGCTGGGGGCGTGTGCCTTTGTTGCAGTTTGTCCCTGGCCCTGGTTGGGTAGTGCAGGAGGCAGCCACTTGGTATGTCCCTTTCACGTCGGTGTTTCTTTCTCTTTCTCTCTTCCTCTCTCTCCCTCCCACTCTATCTAGAAAAAATAAATAAATAAAAAATAATATTTAGGTTAGACACCGTTTTTAGACTACCTAAGCCACTGTTCCCCATCATTAGTATAGATAACTTCCTATTTTAGTCATTTCCAATGGACACAGACAAAACTGTGGTGAAGGCCTGGGGTGGAACAGGGGCTGGGAAGGGCGGTAATGGGGAGGGAAATTGGGGTACATCTGTAATACTGTGAACAACAACAAAAAGTCATTTCCTTAGGGAAGCCTTCCTCATCTCTGCTAACGTCCTCATTATACCCTCTACTTTTCCTCTCTGGCATTTATCACACTCGTGATTAATTATCTGTTCAATTATGTGTTAATGATTTTCTGACTGATGGACTTTGAGCTCCACCAGAAAAAGAGTCACATATCTATCCTGCTCACTGTAGTCACCCAGCTCCTAGCAGAATGCTTGGCACGGGGTAGGTGCCTCACAAAGTATTCACTTATTCAACTACACTAATTTACTAATTACTTTGTCTTGAAATTTTAGCAAATAAGACCAAAGTGCTCCTTTTGAGAAAAAAGCAGTAGTTCAAAAGCACAAAGATGCCGATGCGTTTATCTTTACTTCAGAGTGAGCTTCCTGTTATTTACCTTCATGCTTTGGGTTTTTACTGCATCTGTTCTGCTGGTCACCTGATGCAAAGACTCTCTTTTCAGAGTGGCAGCTCTATCACCTATCTTAAAGGGTAAAAAGAATAAGAGAAGATAAAAGGCAAACATTAAAACTTAAATAACATTTATAACCATTCGCTTCTCCAAGTGAAGCGCAGACATACTGAAACAGCTGTGATGTTTGAGTTCGGAGAGAGGGTGTCTATCCAGTTTGCATTTTTATGGGGAAATAAAACCCTTTTTAAAAAAAAAAACTTAAACAACATCTAGCACTTTTTAAGCAATTTGGTCAAACTTATTTAAAAGATCTCAGAACACTGTCAACAGAAATACCAGAAGGAACATGAGAGAAGGGAGGGTGAAAGGCCACTGAGATACAAAACTGAAAATGGTGCTTAGTCTAGTTGTTTCATTCACAAACTTTAAAACTCTGAAGTATAAAAAGCGAAAGAACTTGAACCTAGAACCATGCTGGGTATGATGGAAGAAAGAGTAAGACAGATTTTTTTTTGTCCAAAGGACAGTTTAAAACAAAGATGTAGGAAGGAGGAGGGAAGGACAGATCTTACTATTAACAATTTCCTCTTCTGGAGAAAAATAAGTGGCAAGGGGAGGGACAGTAGGGGAAGTTAGCTATGGTAAGTTTTCACAATAAGCCTTGAAAACCTTTGAGGCCTACTACTCATCAAATCATCCAAAATTCCTAGCCCCTGCTTAGTTTAGCAGAGTTCAAAAGGGCTTTTTAAAGTAAGGCTCCTTTAATCTTGGCAGATTTGTAGTCAAATTACACACCCCTGTAAAATAGGAGAGGGAACAAGTCTTACTCCACCCTCCAAGCCAAGTTGAGGCAACTTGCCAATGCTCCACTGTGGACAAGCCAGCTCAAGCACTGCATTCTATGTGCCAAAGTTCAACTTTATTTGTGGGCTTGCTTCCAGCTTTGGTGGTTACTTAAATTTACAGTATAATTTCCTGTACTTGGTTTCTATTTCTTTATATATGCCTGTATCTTTGCTGTATGAAATCTTTAAGGGTAAGGCTTGCAACTATTAAAAAAATCCACATGGATCCCAGCACAAGGTATATGAGAAAGATGATTAAAGAAAGACACAACATGAAAACCAGTAAACCACATGGTATGCCAGCACTGGTGACCTAGTAGGTCATTCAGTTTCCTCATATGTAAAACGAGAGGCTGGACTCAATGATATCTTAAAGTTGAGGAGCTGGTCAGATCTGATCTGTTTAAATGGCTTTCCTGACCATATATGTACAAGTACACCCTTAATATGCAGACGAAGCAGGATAAATCTAAAAGCCAAGTTCTGGATTAATAAAACTTCAAAAGATTCTTCAGTTAGTGTCACCGTCACTGCTCCCACCCTTAACGACTTAAAAAAGAAAGATCAAGAAGACCTCACTTGGAACTAGGTGCAAGAGCTTCCCTACCAGATGGATCACTGGTAACATAGTAGGAGGCTTGTCATCTCTGCCAACTTGTGGTGAGGCCTGAGCAAGCAACTAAACCTCTCTACATCTCCCTTCCAAATCAGGACCAACACCGCCTGTGCCATTCACATCACAGAGCTAATGTACAAATTAGAGGAGTCAAGGATTAAGTATAATACAAATGGGTAGCCTCTCAAATATGCCAGAAGACTGTGTCTGAAAAGGTGGTGGACTGTCACCCATGTATAGACAAAAGACACTGCAACATAGAACACGTCACAAAAGATCTGAAAGGCTTACCATGCTGAAGGACAGGTTTGTTTGCTTTTCTACCTTGCTCATAGCAACCAGATCTCTTTCTACCAAGTTGACTCTCTGGGTAAGATTACTGACTGTCTCATTCATCCCCTTGCGTTTAAGATCATTCTGCCTCTGGTACCCCACTAGCACACTGTTTACCTCCTCTAAAGAGTTGTGAAGGTACAAGATATCCTGCAGTGGAAATAAATCAAGTTGTGAAATCCAGCTAAAGATGTGTACTAGACAAGTAAGCCAGCAGCACTAAACAACCACTATTATGTCAAGTTACTGAAGTAAACTCCTTTTCCTGGTTTAGGCCATTGATTGTCTGTCTCTGCTTTGTCCCTCTGCTCTAAATTGCTCCCAATTTACTCCCTCTGGAATTGTTTGACCTCAGTTAGACAGGAGAGGGAAAGAGGGAAGAGGTCTACCTAACATGATTCACTCTCTGGTCCCAGGAAGCTGAGAGCTTAGGAATTGATTTCCCAATGTTTACCTCATTTGCTGGCAGGAAAGCTTGCTGGGTTATTAACTGAAACGTCCACTTACCTAATTTGTCAGAACAAAACTACCTAAGGAACAATACAATTACTGAATTGGCTCATGTAGCAAAACCATAACAAGTAGTACATTATTTAGTACAAGATTCAATTATTTTTATTGACATCCTTTAGTTACTGATTACTACTTAGATAGAAATGATGACTATAGGTTTTAAAGGGCATTAAACTCAGGACAGGAATTCTTCTTAGTGAAGATTTACTTTATTCTCTTTAATGTGATTCTGAATTCAATATCCTTTTTCCTCCTCGTCTTCAGAGAATCTTGATTTTCTAGGATATGCTTTCTAACATTCTTAGAATTTACAGTGGCTCAAAATAACCATCACTCTGAATTAATCTGTTACTCATCCATCTTTAATTTGCCCAGATTGCTGTTTTTCATAAAGAGTTCCAGGATACACCCTGGCCGGTTTGGCTCAGCGGTAGAGTGTCGACCTGCGGTCCAGAGAGACCCAGGTTCAGTTCCCACTAAGGGCATATACCTCGGTTGCAGTTTGTCCTAGGCCTTGGTTGGGTCGTGCAGGTGGCAACCACTCGATGTGTCCCTTTCACGTCGATGTTTTTCTCTCTCTCTCTCTCCCTCCGCACTCTATCTGAACAACAACAACAACAACAAAAGAGTTCCAGGATACTCTGGTCATTCTATGTCTTTCAAGATGTGAAGAGGAATTTACTCCACTGATCAACATGCAGGGGAAAAATCAGATTGCCAAACGAAAGACAGGGCATCTTGGATTCCCTAAGATAACACACACCCCTCTCTGCTCAGTTCTCAGGCAGGCACATCTACGCACGAGATTCCTGCTGAGGCACCACACCACCAAGCACAAGCTACTCAGGCTGCTCCAAAGTCCTCTGTGGTCACAGGGAGATAAGCCAGAGACAAAAAGTACCTGTTTCATATTCTCACTGTGGGTTTTCTTGTCAAGTTCTGATGGAGCTGAAGGTGATGGAATAATCTGGTTGCTTCCACTGGTCTCCTTCAAGGACTGCTGATTCTGTTAACAGGAATGGAGATTAGTATAGGCAACAAGTAATTACTAAGTCTACTTAACCATCTAGGATGGTCCCAGAACATTCTAGTCTTTCACAGGGGGCATCCACAGATTAATCAACATGGAGGCAGATCTAGGAATGAGTAGAGAAGCTAGGGAACTTTTGTATGCCTTGAAGAGTCCCAATTTCAAGTACATATACCTCATCTCACCAGCATGACAGCAGAGGCTATGCTATCCTTTTCACCCTTCCTAAATCCTGTATGGAGCTGAGTAACCATTAGGAGATAAATTCAGGCCTCTGAATGACAGCAGGCAGCTTACATCTGCACAGCATTGAGAGATATTTGAAAACAATCTCTGACACTGCAGGGGTTGGTTTGTGTCTCGGTTATCCATTACTGCATAACAAATCATCCCCCAAATAAATAATTTATTACTTCGCAGGATTCAGAATGTGGGTTGACTAGGCTCAGTGAGGATGGGGGCATTCTATTTCACATGGTGTAGGCTGAGGTCACATATATGACTGCGTTCAACTGGGAGCTTGAACATCCAAGATGATCTTTCATCACCTAGAGGCCCCTTCACTTGGCCTCTCATCATTCCCTAGTCTAAGAGCCCTGCCAAATTCTGGATCCACAAAATAGTGAGAAATAATAACGTACTGTTTTAAGCCACTAAGTTGTGGGGTGATTTGTAATGTCACAGAAAACAACTGAGATACTTCCCCACTTTCCTTTCCTTCTTTTCCATTTTCCTTCCTCCCATTCCATCTTCAAGTGTCTTATTTCTTTATCTCTTGAAGCATATTTGCAAGAGACTCAGCTCTTCATTCTATTCACCTTAACTGTTTAATTTACAGATTGCAAAAATAACAAAACTGCTTATTGTATTTTTTTAAAAGGTGCATAATTGGGTCTGCTTAGACAAATGGAAAGCGGGCATCAGTTACTACACAGAAAAGAGGAGGCAGGAAAATGCTGACCTTCTATAGCACTTGTAGATTTCCTTACCGGATCATTCTGTAGAAGTAACTCCATGGCTTTCTTGTGCTCATCCACAGTTTTCTGTATTGCCTCCACAGCAAGATGGACACTGTTTAAAGTATTGCCAATGGAAGCTACACTCTGAACAGAAACATATAGTAAGGTTAGTGTTTTTTTCCTTTTTAAAAAATTTTAATAGCCAGTGGTTGAGCGTCGACCCATACACCAAGAGGTCACCGGTTCGATTCCCGGTCAGGGCATATGCTCAAGGTTGTGGGCCAAATCCCAGTGGGGGGGCATGCAGGAGGCAGCCAAACAATGTTCTCTCTCACTGATGTTTTTCTCTCTCTCTCTCCCTCTCCTTTTCTCTCTCTCTAAAATCAATAAAGAAAATTTAAAAAGTAATGGAAGTCTTTAAAAAAATGTTTAATAGCTTTATTAAGATATATCTGATATACAATAAACTGCACATGCTCAAAATGTATAACTTTTTAAGTTTTGACATACATACTGTGAAACCTTTACCACAATCGAGAGAATACACATCCATCACCCCCAAGTTTCCTCATGCCCTTTTGTAATTCTTCCATCCCTGTCCCCAGGCAACCACTGATCCACTTTCTGTCATTACATATCAGTTTGCAATTTCTAGAATTTCACAGAAAGAAAAGCAGTGAGTATGTACTTATTTTATTTTATTTTTTTATATTGCTTCTTTCACTGAGTATAATTATTTAAAAATGTATTCATGTTGTAGTTACTCAGCATGCAGCTAAGTAGCATTCCATTGTATGGATACACTGCAGTTTATTCACTTGTTGACAGACATGTAGGTTGTTTTCAGTATTTGGCTACTATGAATAAAGCTGTTATAAACATTCATGTACATGTCTTTTGTGTGGGCATATGCTTATCATCATAATACCTAGAAGGTGAATGGTGGATCATATGATACCAGATGTTATGCTTAACTTTTTAAAAAACTGCCAAACTGTTCTAAAATGGTTATACCACATTATATTCTCACTAGCAGTGTATGAGAATTCTAGTTACTCCAAATCCTCTATATAGCTTCCTGCAGTTTTTTCAATTTTAGGCATTCTAGTGGGAGTGCATATATCATTAATTTCATTTTACATTGAACACTGATGAATAAAGGTCAGTGCTTTTAATTATTTCATATATCTTCAAACTATGAATCTCATGTAGCTTACACTGACATAATTAACAGGAAAAAAAAAAAATATATATATATATTTTCCCAACTTAAAGGACTTTTCCTAGAGGAAAACCAAATCTTTCCTTAAAAAATCCACGTTTATAGATTTGGAACCCACAGATAAGCTTCTCCCACAAACTGCTTCTACCAAGCCCTGCAGTAGGCAGGCAAATGGCCAGAGCTAACACTGTAGATTGCCATGAAGTTTGGAGCAAACAACGGCTTTTGAGGGAAAATGAGTGAAACCATTTTTGGCTTTGGGAAAACAAGCATTGTGGAGATAAAGGAAAAATTCCATTTATCAGCAATTGTTCTTTTTATATTTTAGCATCCCATCAGCAACTACTGAGGGTTAGATATAAGTAGCAGCTTACTTTGCTTTCATTAGACCCAAGGAGCCCAAGTGGACTGGGAACTTGGAAACATGACTCAGAAGCCATACACACACACACACACACACACACACACACACACACGTATACATATACATACACATACTTTATCTTTATTGATTTTTGAGAGGGAGGAAGGGAGAGGGAGAGATAGAAATGTCAATGACAGAGAACATTGATTAGCTGCCTCCTGCCTGCCCCCCACTGGGGATCAATCAGGCCCACAACCTGGGCACGTGCCCTGACTGGGACTCGAACTGGCGACATCTTGGTGCATAGGTTGATGCTTAACCACTGAGCCACACCGGCCAGGTGAGAAGTCATATTTTTAAAAGGCCTGTCCTGCCCTGGCCAGTTTGGCTCAGCGGTTAGAGCGCCCGCCTGCGGTCCGGAGAGACCTGGGTTCGGTTCCCGCTAAGGGCATGAACCTTGGTTGCAGTTTGTCCCCGGCCCTGGTTGGTCGTGCGGGTGGCAGCCACTCGATGTGTCCCTTCACATCGATGTTTCTCCCTCTCTCTCTTCCTCTCTCTCCCTCCCACTCTGTCTGTACAAAAAATGGAAAAATGTCCTCGGGTGAGGATAAAAAAAATAAATAAAATAAAATAAAAAAATAAAAGGCCTGTCCTGCCCTGGCCGGTTTGGCTCAGCGGTTGGAGCGTCTGCTTGCGGTCTGGAGAGACCCGGGTTCGGTTCCCGCTAAGGGCACGTACCTCGGTTGCAGTTTGTCCCCGGCCCTGGTTGGTCGTGCGGGCGGCAGCCACTCGATGTGTACCTTTCGCATCGATGTTTCCCTCTCTCTCTCTTCCTCTCTCTCCCTCCCACTCCCACTCTATCTGTACAAAAAATGGAAAAATGTCCTCGGGTGAGGATAAAAAAAAAAAAAATAATAATAATAAATAAAAGGCCTGTCCTAAGGGAACATCCAAAACAATGTTACTATTTGGTAGGTGCTGACTTTTTATTGAGATAGACTGACAATTTTATGATGTCACATTAGTATTTTAACCAAGGTCTTTTTTTTAATCCTCACCTGAGGACATTTTTGCATTTATCTTCAGATAGAGTGGGAGAGAAAAAGGGAGGAGGAGAGAGAGAGAGAAACATTGATGTGAGAGAGTCAACTGGTTGCCACCCATATGACCCCAACCAGAGCCAGGGACAAACTGCAACCGAGGTATGTGCCCTTAGCGGGAACTAAACCCAGATCTCTCTGGTCTGTGGCCTGATGCTCTAACCACTGAGCAACCAGCCAGGGCTAACCAAGGTCTTCTATATTACACTGATAGCCAAGTCCAAGAGAACAAGAGATGATAGTTTTCAAAATTAAAAAAAAATTATGAGTACACTGAGGTTAGGTATTTGAGATGAACTACCACCAAAACAGCCACTTATAATAAAAGTAGTATCTGACATTATAAACACAGAGATTGTAAAGTCACAACACACTGGGTAGAAGTTTCTGAGCTGGGATGTTATTTATGCAAGCTCTGTTGTTACAGAAGCTACAGGCATTCAAAGACACCTCCTGTTAGAGAATCCTCACTGGCTAGATGTATGATCCTATCAGGATGCAAAAAGATAGTAAGCTCTTGTTTGGTATTCTCAGCAACTGAAAATGCCTGGCACACACTGGAAGAAATGTTTATTGAATTAATGAATGCAAAAATAAACCAGTTTCCTTCACTCTGGCAAGACTGCCAGAGTTGCTTCTGTGCTAAAAGGTTACAGAGGCCCTGGCCAGTTTGGCTCAGTGGTTAGAGCATCGGCCCGCAGTCCAGAGAGACTCAAGTTGGTTCCTGCTAAGGGCATATAACTTGGTTGCAGTTTGACCCCGGCCCCGGATGGGGTCGTGTGGGTGGCAACCACTCGATGTTGTCTCTCTCACATCAATGTTTCTCTCTCTCTCTCTCCCTTCCTCTCTCCCTCTTGCTCTAGCTGAAGACAAATGCAAAAATGTCCTTGGGTAAGGATAATAAATGAATGAATAAATGAATGAATGAATGAATGAAGAAATGGTTATAGAGGCCTACCTTTTCCCCACTGGCCCTTGGGAACAATGGCAAGAAGCATTTGGCCTCATCAAAGTTGCCCTTACATTTTATTTAAAGTTATAAGCAGATGACCACATTGGACAAACAACAAACTATAGAGACTGAGCACATAGGTGGAGTGGCTACAAAATAGCAAGTTTAGTTTCTGTTTTTGGCTTAGAAAGTTCTCCTTTGTGGACACAATTTATATATTTATAGAGCCTGGCATGCAATCAAATCAAAGTTATCACACACTAACTTTTAAAAGTTAAAGAACCCGGATTTGATTCCCTTGCTCCAGAATCCCTTCTTCCACTTCCTGCTGCAGGGGCTGATGTTGCTTGGGTTCCAAGCAGGCCTCTTCTTCTTACTCTCCCCACCCAGCTCTAAAGGTCCTTATGTGTTACTCATCTGCTTGGTCAATGCCTCCTGCTCTAGGCCTGAATTCTAGGGATTAAATAAACAGAAATTCCAAATTATTGTTTGCCTAGTCCCTACATTCTAGGGTATATACAGAGTGAACTGCTTGGAGGATGTGCACCTTTACCTTCATAAAATAATATAAATTGTTTTCCAAAAGCTTTTTATCAATTTATACTGCCTGTAGGAGTGTTTGAAAGTTTCCTTTGCTCTAAATTCTTGCTAACACTTATCATATCCCAAATTTTAAGTGTTTGCGCTTCTTCAAATTATCTCTTAAAAAGAGATTTGGGCTGGTTTGGCTCAGCAGTAGAGCGTTGGCCCGCGGACCAAAGGGTCTCAAGTTCAATTCCGGCCAAGGGCATGCACTTCGGTTACAGTTCGTCCTCAGCCCTGGTCGGGGTCGTGCGGGAGACGACCAGTCGATGTGTCCCTCTCATGTGGATGTTTCTCTCTCGCTCCCTTTCACTCCCTCTCTTTCCTTTCCACTCTAACTGAAGATAAATAGAAAAATATCCTTGAGTGAAGATTAAAATAAATAAATAAATAAATAAATAAATAAAATAACTAGTAATTTAAAAATTAATAATTTAGAGCAACTCTCATGTACAATTAATTGGCCTGCTTTCATGAAGACACTGCGGATGATGAATTGAAAAGGCAAATAATGAAAAGTGAACCCACATACGTTAACATAAGAGTCCCAGCAGAGCAATCCTGGGACTTGGGGAGAGCCAAATAAAATGGTGTGAATAAATTTAAACCAAAGCTAAAGTTACCTGTCACAAATTAAAGGCCCAACTAACCAGACCAAGACAGAGGTGTTCTGAAATCTTTGGAACATAGTGTTATACTCTGTTACCGCCCTACTGGAATAGGTGATTTCAAATGCCAGGCTTTCAAAGAAAACTAAGAAGCTAGAATTACAGCAATTGATTAATCTCAGTGTCTATACATAGTACTTACCTTCTGAAGTCCCTCTACAGTGGCAGGCAGGCTAATTAAGTCTGATGCTGACTTAACATTGGCTTTGAGGTGGTTTACTGCAGAATTCAACACAGATATCTAAAAGGAAAAGAGTAACAATGAAAAAATAATCTGCACAGTGAATGCTTCCTTCCCAAACTCTACATCTGATGCAGATGTCAAGGCACTCTTGAATTTTGTGCATTTCTGTGACCCAGGCATTATACCCTGTTCAGCTCAAACCTTGAATAGACTGGAGATCTGGGAGGCAGCAATAATCCCTTTCTTTTCCTGCCCAATTTAAACACTAGTGCCAAAGGGGGAAAGGCAGTTATTATTCTTTACCCTACTCCTGGCAACTACAAGATCCAAAAATCTTAAATTACTCAAAAGATGATTACAACAGTGATTACAACACAATCCTTCAACAATTGGACAAAAAGAAAGCTAATGATCAAAGACCCCCGAAGGATTACATATTGGTAAAAAAAAAAAACTTCAGTTATTTACTGAACTTTTGTTTCTGCCCAGGTGGGAACATATATTATAAAGTAAAAGCCCATCGTCACAAAATACAGTCTACAGGAACTGTACCCGACAACTTGAACAGTACTTTCAACTACTTGGGGATTTAGTTTTGGTTTAACAATGTGATTAATATTTCAAACTCAATAGCTCAACCAAAGCACTACTTTGTACCCTGAAGGGGCTCAATAAATACCAATGACCGCTAACTGATGTACTGAATGTATTAAAATAGGAATTGAATCAAAATAAAATGTGTCTTCTCTTCTGCTATTTAGGGGTAGAATCTAAATAGCTGGACTTCTCTCTTGAACGGGGACTAGGGGAACCTGTATAATATTCAATTTCAGACCGCAGAGATCATATTCTAACGACCTTGCAGTGTGGCTAAAACATTCTTGAAAGATTACTGGTTCCATACTGCTTTCCTGTTTCAAATGCTAGAATAAGAACACCGATCTACCAAAAGCAATTATATTCAAAGAACATCACAGAAGAACCACTAAAGTTTCTGGGCACTTGTTACATATAACAAAGTAAATCTGATCCCCCATTCTTTCCTTCAACAAATGTTTGGCATCTTCTTTGTGCCAGGTACTGCTGCAGGCACTATGGAGATAGTGGCAAACAAGACCATGAGGTTTTGCTTTCAAGGAGTGTACATCACAGTAGGTGAGAAAAACAAAGAAGGAAAGTATCAGATAATAAGTATGATGCACAGAATTTAAGCAGTGCTCTGGGAGAGACCAGCAGTGTGTTCTGAACAAAAGAGTCCAGTGAGGAGCCCAGGAACTTGGGGGGGGGGGGGGGCAGAAAGAGAAACATCGATGTGAGAGAGACACACTGATCGGTTGCCTCTCCCTTTAGGAAGAAAATGTTCAGGGAAGTCAAACCATTTTTCATTCATTCCTACAATAAGTATTTATTGAGTCCTATTTTATACCTAGTGTCAGTTATCTCTTGGAGTTTACATTTTAGTAGAAGGAGACAGTATCAGATAGTGGGATGTGTTAGGAGAAAATTAAAATAAGGCAACTTGATAAGTGACTGGTCAGCTATGTTAGATTGGATGGCTAGAAAAAGCCTGTTTAAAGAGATTAAAAATATTTTTTGAGTTAATCCTCACCTGAGGTTATTTTCCCATTGATTTTTTAAAGATAGAGTGGAAGGAAGGGAGGGAAAAAGAGAAAGAGAAACATCCATGTGAGAGAGACACATTGATCAGTTGCCTCTCCCACAATCCTAATTGGGGCTGAGGAATGAACCCACAACCCAGGTATGTGCCCTTGACCAGAACAGAACCCATGACCCTCTGGTCCACGGCCAATGCTCCACTAACTGAGTCAAACCAGCAAGAGTTAAAGAGATGAAATTTAAACTGATCTAAATAATAAGAAGGAATTAATCAGACATAAATCAAATGAAGTACATTTGAGGGCAGTGGGAACTGCCGGGGTATAGGCCCCAGTGCAGGAACGAGCTTGGCATTTCTGAAGAATAGAAAGAAGGTTGGTGGCAGGAGCACATAATATGAGTGAGAAAGAGAGAGGAAGAAGGGGAAATGGAGGCAGGGAGGTAACATTAAAGAAACAATTAGGTACTAAATGTGATAATAAAGTTCTGCGAAAAGAATATTAGTACAAGCTGAACTGGACAGGCTTCACCGAAATAGGACTCAAATTAGACTCTGATGGAGAAGAGTTTTATATGTTTTTAGGTTAGAAGGGTGAGTGTAGCATTGGGTAACAGGTAGGGAGCAACACCATAAATAGGCCCAAGAAAACTTTTTGTGTATGGCAATTCTCAAAGTGATGATGATTTATGTATTTGTGTAATTATTTGATTAAGTTTATCAAGAATAGTAATGGCCTCCAAATAGCCATTGTGGCTGGCTGGCAGCTACTTTTCTCCCCAAACCAGAGGAGCAGCTGAAAGCCAATGCCAGCAGGATAAGGTGAGGTACTGTTCCACTTCTCCCCATGCCCCAAACTCTCTAGGCCTGGGTATCAGCTGCCTCACTGAAAGGGTGGGCTCCGGAGAGCTGACCATTAACTCCCTAATTACCAAACATCACCTAGGACTTCTTACTTATAAGACCTGACCCACACACTAGTCACTAGGACTCAGCTACATTCTCATAAATTGCGAAGATGGATTCCACCTCTCAGCATTCCTTTCTTAAGAGTGGAATAACGCCAAAATCTATGGAAAACTAGAGCAAAGCGACATATGTAACTAGCATGAAGAGACAAGGGGCCCTCTCATTACCTCCAGGAATGCTCTAGAATGTCAGATTGGACTCGAGCATTATAGAATTTACCTCTGAAAGTCACACACTATGATGCAGAGTCTAAAACGTTGAATTAAGTAGAAACCATTAAGAAAAAAAAATCAAGTTCCAGCCAAAAGATGAGTCATGACTTTTATGCATATTACATGACTTTTCATTAGCAAAATTAAAAATAGCTACTGTAGACCATTTATACTATGAAATCTGAAATGCTGCTTTTTTGCTTTGGGGTTAAAATTAAGTGTCTTTAAATAGCAGGCAAAAAAGTTACTAAAACAGAGAACCATCAGTGATGAATATGGGCTCTACTAGGAACCTGACATCACATCCTTTCAACTTCATCTACTGAGCACCTACTGCATTTTATAAAGAATATAAAGATGAAAGGCAGAAAGGAAAACTGGGGGAAAAAAACCAACAGGCTCCTAGGACTTGAATATTTTAAGGTTAGCACTGCTACACAGCTGTGTGACCTTGGGCAAACTACCCAACCTCACTGAATCTGTTTTCTTATCAGTATAATGGAGATATCACCTCCTACATCATAGGTCTATAGGAGCAAAAATGGAGATCTTATATATTGTGCCTCTAATAGTGGCCTGTACAAAGAAGGCATTTAATGAATGGCAGTTACCATCTTAATTGCCATCATTATCATCATTGTCAACATCATGCTTAAAACACGGAGTACAGTGTACAACCTTCTAGTGTAATTAGATGCATACGCAAATACAGCCGTTCCCTGTTGTTCTCAGTTTTTGCTTTCCGTGGTTTCAGTTGTCTGCGATTTGTCAACTGTGGTCCAAAAATATTAAATTAAAAATTCCAGAAATAAACTAATTCATAAGTTTTAAATTGCACACTGTTCTGAGTAGTGTAATGAAATCTCCTGCTATACTTATCCATCCTGCCAGGACATGATTCATCCTTTTGTCCAGTGTATCCACAATGTATATACTACCTGCCCATTAGTCACTTAGTAGCTATGTTGATTGTCAGATGACTGTCACAGTATTGAAGTGCTTGTGTTCCAGTAACCCTTATTTTACTTCATAATGGCCCCAAAGTTTAAGAGTAGAGATGCTGGCAATTTGGATACACCAAAGAGAAGCTGTAAGTGCTTCCTTCAAGTGAAAAAGTGAAAGCTCTTCACTTAGAAGAAAAATATCACATGCTGAGGTTGCAAAGATCTGTGGTAAGAACGAATCTTGTCTGTGAAATTGTGAAGGAAAAGAAATTCATACTAGTTTTGCTGTTGCATTTCAAACTACAATAGTCAGCCACAGTGTGTGTTAAGTGCTTAGTTAAAGTGGGAATGACATTAAATTTGTGGATGGAAGACATGAACAGAAAACATGTTCTGATTGACAGCAACATGTTAGGCCAGAAACATTGAGCCTATACAAAGATTTCAGCAAGGTGTCCCCTGAAATGAGTGACACTCAGTCATTTCTTGAAAGTAAGAGATGGTTACACAGATTCAGGAGTAGGTTTGAACTAAAAAATATAAAGATTATTGGCGAGATTACAGTTACATAACTTTTATTACAGTATATTGTTACAATTCTATTTTATTGTTACTGTTGTTAATCTCTTATTGTGCCTAATTTATAAGTGAAACTTGATCATAGGTATGTATGCACCGAAATGACATAGTATACAGAAGGTATGGCACTATCTGTGGTTTCAGTCATCCACTGGAGGTCTTGGAATGTATTCCCCTTGGATAAGGGAGGGCTACTGTGACTATCACATCATAAGGTATCTGGACCAAGTGCCCAAAAAAAACAATATAGAGAATACTATAAAAGATGATCCACATAAGGTCCTTGTTGCCTCTTGCTGACATATCTTTTCTTCTGGCCTCTTTCCACTAAACTATACTATAATTAAATACAAAAATGCCCTGAACACACTGTTTTTCATTTGTCTGAGCCTTTGTACATACAGTCAATTCTCGTTATTCACAGTAGTTATGTTCTAGAACATAGGTTTTCAACCTGTGTGCCACAAGAATTTTTAAATGAGATTTTTTTTTTTTTTTTTTTGTACGTGCCCCTAGCGGGAACTGAACCCGGGACTCTCTGGTCCGCAGGCCAACACTCCAACCGCTGAGCCAAACCGGCCAGGGCTACACAAGAATTTTTAAAACATGAAATACCTGACTGTTTAGTCAAGGGGCACTGACCTCTTTTCCCTTAGATTGTCAAATAAAAAAAATGACAACAGCCAACACAATAGCTGTCCAGTGTGAATGAATCAAAATTATACCTATTTTTTTTTT